CAGAACTCATGAGGCTCGAAGCAGTGTTGGCCTCCCCACCCCCCACCCCCAACATGGCTGTTAGATAGACAGTCCTGTAACCTGTGTGTCTCAGAATGGCAGCTGTATGTTAGGGACATTTCTTGTGTAGTGTATGTGTGTTGTGCACAGGGTGGAGGACAAATGACAACTTGCTGGTTACTTCTACCATCTGGGAATGAATGAATGAATGAATGGATGAATGGTCATCAGACTTGCCAGGCCCTCCTTGACCTCTTAGCTCCCTGGGATGTCTTCTGGGAATGAATGAATGAATGAATGGATGAATGGTCATCAGACTTGCCAGGCCCTCCTTGACCTCTTAGCTCCCTGGGATGTCTTCAATGTATAAGATTTATACCCTACTTCATGGGACCCTGATCTGTCCTTTTCTGGGGTTATCTTGAGACAGGCACCCCAACTCCCTCTGGTGGGAGACTCATTTGACCTCCACAGCCAGTGCCCTCTAAGGCACACATCAGGCTCCTGTCACTGATTGTGTTGTGGGGTGTCAGAGACAGAGTGGGGATCCTTTGTCAGCCTCCAGAACTGATGGAGTGATGAGCTTGGCGACCCCCAGCTCTCCAGAGGTAGGGCCAGGGCCCATGAAGGAGGTGGCATTGTTTACATTTTATGTAGCCTCAGGGAAGAGTGCATGTTGATTGAGGAGAACATTTGCCTTTTGAATAAGCAGGGAGGAGATGGGGTGGGGGGAATCTGTACCAGAGAGTGGGAGTCAGGCTCAGGTCTGTTTTGGAAACTTCTTGTGGCCTGGTGAGAGTTGAGAGTTCAAACTTTGCTTGGCAGGCAGCAGGTGTGTGTGCGCGTGCGCTGGGGAGAGTCAGTTCCCAGTGTGGAGCCCGTGGTGCCAGGTGAGGAGAGTTGAGGGTTCAAACTATGCTTGGCAGGTGCTGAATGGATGCCAGGGACAGCTGCCTTCCTGTCCCTCCATGTGTCTACTAGTCATGTGTCCCGTGGATATGTGACTGTGACATGGAGGAGCGGTTGCTGAGGTCCTCAGGGCAAGGGCATCTATGAAGTCTGCATTTTGTATCCAGGCTTCCTGAGTGGCCTCTTAGACAAATCCCTGTGTTTTTAAATTGTTAATGTATAATGAACAATGCAATTGGCTACTACGATTTATTAAAGAGAGAAAGAAAACCCTATCTTCACCTTTCCCGTGGAAACAGTCCAGTTTTCTTGACTGAACTGCAATGTCTTCATTGGAGCCACCTGGAGTTCTAACAATGTGGCCTACAGGACAGACCCTGCTGTTCTCTGTAGGGGCCAGGCTTTCCTGTATCGGGAATCAAGATCACTAATGACATCCATTCATGCACATGCCCACAGAAGCCTGGCCTTGCCTGAGCTGACAGGTTGTGTGTGTGTGTGTGTGTGTGTGGGGTCATACAGAGCCCCAAACTCCATTTCTCCTTCCTCTTGGGGACAGAAGCTGGGGCAGCTCAGGCAGGCCCACCTCCACCCACCACAGACAGGAGCTAAGTGATTACTGGTTAAAATCGGTGTTTTCTCACTAAGGCCAGCAGGCTGATGCATCTAGGAGTTTTCTTCCTTATGTGAACACTACAGTAGCATCTATAGACAACACTGTCACTAGGCAAGATGACTTTATGGGATTGGGGGGGGGGTACGGTGGGATTGTGGTTAGGTCTTAGATTCTTTGTCTGCCCCCAGCAGAGGGCTAGTCTAGCTGGGGGTGGAGGGACCTGGGATTGTGTGAATCCTGCCAAGGAGACTCTAGGCTCCGTTCAGAATTAATCCATCTTCTAAATGGAAATGTCAAGGCCCAGCAGACATTTTTGCTAATGATTCTGGTGATGAGATACACAGGGGCAGGAAACAGTTGGCCTCATGGAAATGGATTTTGCCTGCCAAGCAGTCACTCAGGAGAAAGCTGGTCTCCTCTCGGGGTTACAGCAGTCTCATGAGCCTGCTCACTCTAACCTCCCCTTGTAGGATGAATTCTGAGCAAAGGAAGACAACTCAGTGCAGGCACCAGGAAAGCAAGAGTGCTTCTCGGAGCAAACAAACAAAAAACAAAACAAAAAAAAACGTGTGGTGAAGGGAAAGGATGACCTGCCTCAGCAATGGGACACATTAGAGGCCATGTCACCCACATGCTTCGGGAAGTGGGAACTGCTACAGACTGGGCAAATGTCCATAAGTTGAAAACTCAAAATCTTGAAATGTTCCAAAACTTGAAACTTTCTGAGTACAAGATGATGGTTGTCAGTGGCAGACTCTAGGCCACACTCAGAATGCAGAGACATTTAGTGTATAGTTAACTTCCAGCTGTGTGTATGTGTGTTTGAAAATGATACATGGATTTTATGTCCTGCCCATCAATATCTATGTAAACAATGAAAAAACTGAGACCCTGAACGCTTCTGACCCCATAAATTTTGGATACGAACAGTGTACACCAACTACAGGCATTGGAATGGACCAGATGAGATCAGAGTGCTTTGGTTTGGGTTGCCAAACCTGTGATCCCCTGGTGTCACACCTCAGAAGTTCACCCCTAGTCTTTGTGATCTCAACACAGCAAGAAATACACTCAGACACCTGTGATGGCAGAGCCAGCCAGGAAAGGTGTAGCTGCCACCCAGTACCTACAACAAAGTCATATGACCTGGGGTAGAGTACGCAGATACACAAAGTTAGGTGTAGTTCAGTTGGTAGAATGCTTGCCTAGCATACACAAGGCCCTCACAGGCATGACGGGTGCCTGTAAGCTCAGCACTTTAGTAAATGGAGGGACAGGAGGATCTTAATGTCATTTTCAACCATTTAGCAAGTTTTGAGGTCAACCTGTCTCCAGGGTTTTGTTGTAAAATGGCCCCACGAATGTTGCATGTTCTTTTCAAAGATGCAAAGGGGGCAAGTTCCCATGTATTTTCTATGTTTTAAATTCATTTAGAAATAATAGAGCTTAAAACTGAGTCCCGTGACCCCTTCCTCATTTTCCACGGTGGTGAAACTTCATGACTGTGTTATTGACTGTGTTATTGACAGGAAATTGATAGTTAATTCACGAATGTTACCCAGTTTATTGACTAGTTCTGGACTAATTCAGATACATGTTCAAGCGACCACCATCTCAAAACAAAAAACTAACCAAAACGCAAAGGGGTCCCCTGGCACCACCCTTTGGGGGGCCCACCTCTCCTTCATTGCCCCGACCATCACTAGTGTGATGTCTCTCACGGAGTGCTTCAGTTTTTGACAGTCGGGTCTGAAGCCTTCTCTAGCTGGCTAATCCATCCAAGGGTTGCTTCTTGAGAGCAATCACCCATCATTTTACAGAGATTAATCTGGAGGTGGGAGCATGGGGGCTGGCTGTACAGACAGAGCCTTCAAATTGTGGCCACTGGCCATCTGTTTAAGTTACTCAGCCCTCTGTCGCTTGTCTATCAAATGGTGACAATGGAATTTAGTTAGACTGTTGGCAAGGGCTGATGAAGAATTCATGACGCTCATTTGCTGTTGGCCATCACTGCTGAAGCTTCTATGCCTTTCCCATGGTGTTAACACCCCAGTCTGTTCCAGGCCATTTCTTCATGCTTTCAAGTATTTCGGAGGGTGAGGAAGGAAAACTGAGTTTTCCTGCTAGTCTTTTGGACTGGAAAAATGTTAGGACAGAAATTCAGTAAGGCTCACAGTGTGAAAATGAAGTTGCCAAGTCTGTTGATTTGGGATTATATGCTCCTCTCTAAATTCCTGTGGCTGGGAAGGCTGTTGGACTGAGTGGTGAGACTAGAAGGGGCCCCGAGTGGGGGGCCCTGCAGAAGGTGAACCTGGCAGTTTACATAGGGAGATGCTGCCCCTGCAGGAAGAGCGGCAGCTTTGTTTTCAGAGAACAATGGATCCCATGTTCTTGGTTTGAGTTTTTGGCAATTCACTGTACTCCTGGACAAGAGTGTCATGTCGTGGTTCCTGCGGTTTCATTCCCTTTGCAAAGTCTGAGTCCTAACCTTGTTAGAGCCTCATCCCTGTGTAGTCTTGTGCCTTCTACGCATGCAGAGTCCTGGCCTGATTCTTGCAAGTGAGTCTGGGCTGGCTATTTGGCTTTCCTGCCTTGATTCCTCAGCCAAGGCTCCACAGGGACTGATGGCTGGTGTGGTGTGTGGTGTGTGTGTGTGTGAGATACTTGGCCTGAGGCTCCAAAGGGGCTGATGGCTGAGGTGGGTTGTGTGTGTGTGTGTAGCAGTGGCTTTCTTCAGCATGCCATGCATCTGTTCTCAGCCTGTCATTAGCCTGTATGTTTGTCTTTGAGCTAGGTATGGGTGCATGACTGTAATCCTAGCAGCCCGGAGGCTGAGACAAACCACAGTGTCAAGGCCAGTCTGGGCTCCATGAGACTGTTCAAAAGCCAAACAAACAAGACACATATTATACACTCAATCTGAAGCTACCCCCTCCCCATAAAAAACTTGTTTAGGCACGGGACAGCTCCTCTAGGTTACCTTGCCTTAATGACCTCAATGCCCCTAAAAATTCAGAGAAAAATAAATTGTAGTTTCTTTCCTAGATTTACCTTTTGAGAATAATCATTTCATTTAGCCAGTTTTGATGTTTCAGGCATTGTGTCCCCAGCTTCAGTAAAATGGACCCCTCCCCCTTCTCTGAGACAGGATCTCAAAACTAGCCCTGGCTTGCCTTGAACTCAAAAGGACCAACTGGGACCAACTCTGGTATCAAAGTGTGTCCCCATACCTGCCAAATACTCCCTATATGTCCACAAACAGCAGTCAGTGGGTGTTTCCTTCTGCACAGCTATGCTCTCTGATATCTAGATTGTTCTATAGAGCACCGGAATAAACCAATTTAAGATACACATAAAAAGGCCTGCCTGTGAGTGATAACCTTCTCAGCTGAGGATTGCTACAAGTTCAAGGCCAGCCTGAGATGAACAGCAGGACTGTCTTTGACAACCACCAAACAAAAAAAGGCAAAGGAAATGTTTTGATTCTTATTTTTTAATCTTCAAAATTTTCTGCCATGACATCGGAATGCATGATAGAAATGGCTCATCTTCACATGAAACACTTGGGTTCATTTTCATTCACAAGTTTTTCTAAGAAAACATTTACAATTTCATAATCCCCCATCCTTCCAGCCATTATCACAGATGTGACTGACATGAAACAGTAGTCGCCAGCACTAGGGCTGGAACGCTTTCTGCGCATGAGTAGTGTCTTTGGAAACTACCACCCAAGAGTATCATGATTAAAAATCTCATTGTACATGGCAACCCCAAAGGTGACAGATGTCCCCAAATAAAGTCCCTGTTGGTGGAGAGCTGCATCCTCCAGGCACGGAAGAAATGTACTTCCATCTCCTAGTGTCCTTTCTCAAGGACTTGATTTTGTCACCACTGCTAACCAGTGGAGAGAGAGATGCCTGAAACTGCGCTCTGATAACTGGGTACAGAAAGAACTCAAAGTCAGGTGGCTTAGTAGCTCTTCTTTGGAAGAGAGCTACTTTGAGGTGTTTTTTCCCCTTACTTAAAAACAATGTTGTAAACAAAAGGAGAGAGAGAGAGAGATACATGGACATATACCTAGACAGACTTACACTGTGAGCGTTTTGGTGTGCATCTGTCTTATCTAGAGATACACAGGTGTCCACTTGTCCCTCCACACACACACTTCCACACAGTGTGCGGTACGAGTGTCAGAAGGGTCCTTGGGAGTTCACCGGAGCTTTCATATTTCCAAACGGTGAAATACCTGATTTTCACATGTTACTCCTGAGAAGACACTAGAAGGGAATGACAGTTTTGATGCACTTTGGAATGGCACAGTCACGTAAACGGCTGCATACTTAAGACATCTGAACCTATGAAAAGTTCCTAAACATAATCCAACAACAAAAGTATGAAAACAATGTAGCAAGGTAAAAAAAATAAACAGTTTTTGTAATCAAAGTATAAACAAACATAGGAAATGCACACTTGTCAGTCATTTAAGTAGGAAACATACGTAAGAAAAATAGTTATCTGACAAAACTTGAAAAAAAGCCCCTTCCCACGTATACCAACGTGCACTGCCCACACCACGGCTGGCCATCCAGGGGCTGCAAGGCTCACAGAAGGAGGAAATGCCCAGACGGCAATCTGCACAGGGAGCCACCTAGTAAGCGGTACTGTGACTATTACACTCCTTAAAAAAGACATCCCTCGGCGTAGAAACTGTATAAAATTACAACTGAACCAATGATTCTCAAGCACCAATTCAACCATTTAAACTACTGTGTTTAAACTTCTACTGAGGGAACAGACAGTGCTGAAGGCTAGCGAGGGTTAGCAGGTCATCAGTACAGTTTGTCTTTTAAAGGCAGGCGGGTTTTTTCTTCTTTTCTCTTTCCATTCCCTTGAATGCCAAACATTAGAGAGGTAAAGGACTCCTTGGAGAACCCACCATCTCTCAGAATCATGGTTTAATATACATTAAAAGCTCTTCAACAAACCAATGCTTGTTTCTAGGATAAAGTATCTGTCCACAGGAACGGAGGGCTATTATTCCTCACTATAACTTAGAGGAGGCAACCAATCCCTAGAGTAGCCTCATGAGCATGTCCGGACATCTACTGGTAGTGTAAGAAAATGCAGTATTACAGGAAAAGGCAACACCACCATACTTGGCAATACTCAAGTTTTCCTTAATTAAAAAGTTCCCATTAGACATTCGGGTGGAACTGTATCACAATAAAATCACTTTCCTGTATCAGGAAAATGATAGTTCGAGCCGTGGATGAGCAATGGTGTTTGTGATGCCTCCATTGGTTCTTCGGTTTTGAGGAAATCATGTTCAGATATCGGGTTTATTTCGATGGGCATAACTGCAGCTCTGTTTCCAGTATTCACACCACACACGGTGATTCCTTAGAGACACTCACCTGCCAGTCTCCTCCTGTTGTTTAAGTTTGGTTTTAAGTTTTCATCATATACCGAATGACCTTTGGCTTGCTGCATTTCACTACCCATTGTGTTACTCCATCCCGTCCCTGGCAGCTGAGGGAACACTGCAGCCTAGGCTTCAGCACAGGAGTGGCATGCCTTGCTGGTCCTCAGGCAGGTCTGGTGCTCCCTGCTTCTCGCCAAATTCACTGGCAGGCTCTTCATAAATCACTGTACCAAGGTCTTCGCTGCCCCCCTCGCTCTGCTCCTCGCTGGGCTCCGCAGTGTGGGCCAGGCTGTTCTCCACAAGTGTGGGTGAGCTGCTTATTCTACTTTCTTCCTCAGCCATATGAGTTAACGGTTGGGAAGGAGGCAATGGTAGAGGGTTAGGCTGCCTGGCATTTTCAGTAGAAGAGGCAGGGGCTTTGGTTTGACTGTTGTCTGTGACTACCTCATTCTGAGGTAAAGGTAACTTTTCCACAAGCTTCCACTGGATGATACTCATATCTTTCCCACCAGTTGAAATCAGGTGACTGTCATTATGAGTAAAGCTGACATTGGTCACATGGCTGCTGTGTGCACTGTACTTGTGACTGGGAGCCTAGGAAAGAAGTGAGACAGGAAAATGAACTCATTCTTCACATGCCTGCTTACAGGAAGGGAGGCGACTAGGGAGACTGAGTCAGCTTATGAAAACAGCTTTATTTAATTTACACAGAAGCCACAAGCCCTCAGATCTGAGGAATAAAACTTTGCCTATTTCTGTACATTAAAAGGGGGGATGGCAGCACATCCTGAAATGGCAGTACCTGGGAGACAAAGGCAAGCCCTGTCCCAGAAAGAAAACAGGAAAAGGACACTATCAGTTCATCCCATAGTGTGAAAAGGGACAACTGAGCGGCGCTGTGCAGCCCCATCACTAAGAGAGCTGGCATCCACAGATCTCGCCAAACAAAAGGTAGGACAGCACTGGTTTACACTGAGCTGAGCTCACCTTTGCTTTGGAGCATGGATACTGAAACAGATGAACTTTACAGAAATCATCGGCCACAGCTATCACCCTTCTATTGTGGGACCGCACCAGTGCATTGATGTCTGTCCCATCGGATCCTTCTGGCCAAACACCTGGAGAAAAAGGTATAAAATTAGCCTAAAAACATAACTGATAGTACACGTACCCGAGGCCCCAGGACAGGAAGCTACAGGTGGTACTAAGAAAGTAGCCCTGCCTTTAAAGTTTCTGTGACAGGAAGTTATTGGTTACTTCTAGAGAAGAGCAAAGCAAAAGCAGAGTCAGGGGCAGCAGAAGGGACTACGTGCTCCCTCAGGAAATTGCAGTGTCATGCACTCACTGGTCTAGTGTGCTATCCAACAATTTTTCTGTCTTCAGAGACATACCTACTGTGCTTAGCAAATTACTCTAGGGCGTGGTGATCGTGATCAAAGTAAACTGAAAAACTACAGTTGGTCAAACTGTGGAACATTTAGGTTGAAGTGTTGACTTCCCATGGCTGAGTCCTACATTGGAGAACTTTTTTTTAAATGTGTACAAGTGTTTGCTTGCACATGTATATGCTTACCAAGTGCCAGGTGACCACAGGAGTCAGAAGAGGGCATCTGACCCCCTGGAACAGGTCCACCATTGTGAGCCACAGTGAGTGATTAGGGCTCAAACCCAATCTACCTTTCTAGCCCCGAGAACAAATCATTTGGGGGAGATGTTAAGTTTGTTGCTGGGAGTCTTCCCTATTGCACTATGCCTACAGGGTCAGTCTTTGGGTGGGGGGACAAGGCGAAGCTATTAAGCACTTGATGCCTTTGCTGAAGAGCTGGGTTCTGGCCCTAGACCTGCACGGGGGCTCACAATTATCCTTAACTCCAGTTCCATAGGATTTATTCCATTTCCTCTGGTCCCAACAGCATGTACATAGCACACTTACATAATTGCAAGCAAAACACTTTACACATAAACCTTAAGACTCTTGGATTTTTATTTTTTAAATGAACCGAAAGCTAGCCTCACAAAGTTGGGAGTTATAGACATGTTTACAACCATATCCAGGTTTTAGGTCTTCATGCTTGCAAAGCAAGTGTCTCTACCCATGGGACCCTCTACTCGGCTCCATCTACATGATTTGAGACAGGATCTCTTACTAACCCTGAAGCTCAGATTCAGGGAGGCCTGCAGGTTCATGCCAGCTGTCCTCATGCTTGCCTTGCAAGCGCTTTGGCAAATAAGTCATCTCCTCAGCCCTACAATCCCCCAATTTTATCTTTAAAATACTTACACAGCATCATTGTAATAGTGAAGGACATACACAACCTACCTGCTGAACAAAATATCCTCATTAAAGGACATCAGAGCTATAAGAAGGACCTGGACGACTTATGTTATGCCCAGTTAGATAAGCCACCGTCACTGAACCACAGTGTGTGTCTGCTTATACGAACTATTCAGAATAGAGAAACTGACAGAAAGCAGGTTTAGTAGTGTTGATGGGTTTGGATAGAGTAGTGGTTCTCAACCTTCCTAATCTAAGACCCCTTAATATATAATTTTATGACCACTGACTGTACACTTTAGGTAAACTGTACAATATATGGATGAGATCCCAATGAAGCCGATGTTAAAAAAAAAAAATGTCTTTACTAATATGAAAGCTTCAAATCCACTTGGGGAACACTGGAAGGTAATTTACCCTACTGTGCCAACTACTTTCTCTCACACACACTCTCCACGTTGGTGTGATGTTCTTACCAAAGACTTGGAAGCCTAGTACACAGGTGTACGTTGTCCAGTCGATGTCCTTACAGTCTGACCGGTTCCTGATTAGTTTGCAGCCATTCTCAATGTCCCCTTTAGGAATTGAGAAATGGAGTATAATCAGTGCTGTATACAAATGTCTCTCTCAGATTGCATCCTTGATTCAAACTGGTCATGTTTACTTGTATTTAAAGATTTTTTGTTTTCCCTGTTAAGTGTATCAGGACCTTACAGAACAGAATTACAAAGTATCTGAAGGTATAAAGGCTCACCCCAACACTGGCCCTGCCTCCAGGAAAGGCTGCTCAATGAAACCATTCAGAGTTGCCTCTGTTTCACAGAAAAATCTCTCATGGCAACATCTGATGTCAGTTCAGCACCATTAAATTAATGTATTGCTTTCTGGGAGAAGGAACTGCATGGGAGCCTCATTAGTTAGCCCAGACTAACATGAGCTATTAAGAGGGCAGCATATACTCTACTGTTCACATTCCATGCAGCCTCTGTAACATTGCCTGGCAAACATATCTGAGCCCACAGATGATTGTTCATACTTACAGTACAGTATCTCATAGTCGCCCGAGTTGGACATTATATGCTTATTGTCTGGGGACCAGTCAAGGTGTGTGATGTAGCTAGAATGTCCCTAAGAAAATATTAAGACAGCATTTAGTATTGAGTGACAGTTTAATAATTTGCTTTCTTAGCCCCTATGTGCCAGGCCTCCTAACGGATGGGGCAGCATCAGACAGAGCCTGTGGCACCAAAGGGGCCCAAAGCAGGTTCTTCAGTTCCTTTTACCCTGTCCTGTTAGAAGGCAAGAATGCAGGCAGATAGAACAAGAGTTTGGGCAGGGCTGTGGAGTTCCTACACACTACAGGAATGCTGCTCCAAACCTGGTGACACCCCTGGCTCATACCATCTCTGTTGGAGAATTCCATCTTCTCAGAGAACACTGCATTCTCAGGCTTGCCTTTAACCCACTCACCATATGCCCCAGTGGAGTGACACCAGTCCTGAGAAGGAGAAGTTCCTTCTCCCTATAAATAGTCAGAACTCTCCTAGGCAAATTCCTATCGCAAAAGAATGTTCTGGGTAGGGGAAAGTGACCCAACACTGCTTTCCTGCAGAACAGCTGGACCCAAGCTAATCATCTGATTCTTAAACTTTCCTTAAATAGGAAAACAGTGATCTTTTTGCTGCTTAGCTTTTATTAAAACTGGAAATTAAAACAACAAAACTACTAAATGCTTAACTGTTAGTTTACATGTAAGCATTTAATGATTCCCAATAATCTTATTTCAGGAATGTTCTGCACTTTTGGGATTACAAGCCTCCACTTACATTGTTTGAAGTTAATAAACTCAATGTGTCTCATGACTCACAAGCTTCTTAATTATTTCAGTTTCCTGAAGCCATATTAAATGTGTCCCAAACTTTTTCTGGAACCTTCCTCATAGCACCACAGATCCATGTATTTATATGTTTAACTGGAGTCTGGGAGTTAGGAAGCCTCCTGAACACTAGAGACTGTGGGTATCACTTTCAGTTGAGAACATTACCAACAAGAGATCCATGTTTAAAGCCAGAATGACATGCATGGTTACTAGGTATTTCTGAGTGTGTATGAGGGCATGCTAACACACTGACAGGGAAGTCTCATGTCTGGCTCTATTGTCTGGAGGTTAAGCAGATCTCTGAAAATCAGCCTGACACTACCAAAAAGCATTATGTCTGTGCAATACTTAACTCACACAACAGTGGACACAGAATGTGCTCACAAGGCCAATCAATGCAAACTGGTGCCAAGGCAATTTCTCTAGTTTGAACTGAGTTCCCACGGAACAGTAAGTATGTAGCTTGTTTAGAATTTAATTTTCACATTATAAAGATAACCTGTTACCTTCAGAAATGGGGAAACAAATCATAGGAAATATGTTTCTGCACACACACACACACATTTCTTTAAAATTTGAAACAAGCTTGTTTTACATGGCAATCCCAGTTCCCAAACTCTCCTGTCCTCCCCACCTCCCCATCCCCTTTCTGCACCCTTGAAAGGGCGAATCCTTCCATTGGGAGTCTTAAGTCTGTCATATCATTTGAAGCAGGGCCCAGGCCCTCCCCCATGTGTCTAGGCTGAAGGAGTATCCCTTGCTAATTTTCTTAAATGCAGGCATATCTAAAGTTATTCTATTTTAATGGCAGACAGGTGACATAGGGTATTGTAGGATATCGGGGATGGGTAGAAAAAAGGGACACTGAGCTAAAAAAATTTCCCAGAGCTAGGTTGAGGTGGCACACACCTTTTAATTCCAGCACTCTGGAGGCAAAAGCAGGCAGATCTCTGAGTCTGAGGCCAGCCTGGTCTAAACAGCGAATTCAAGGGCAGCCTGGGCTATGCGGAAAGATCTTAGATCTTTTATCAAACAAACAGCTTCTCGCAGAAATAGCTTGAACAAACTGCCTTAATACTAATTATAAAGAGATAAAAACTAAGCTTAACTGTAAGGGGATACCTTTTCAGAACCCATAGTAGTGTTCTACAAACAGGTAATTCCATTATGTATGTGGGTGTGTGGACTGTCCACAGAGATCAGAAACACTGGATCCCTTGGAACTGGAGTTACAGGTGGGTGAGAGCAACTCAATGTGGGTGTTGGCAACCCGGGTCCTCTGCAGGAACAAACTCCTTCCCACTCACATACCTCCAGGTCTCTCCCTCCTCTTTTGTTTTTATTTGAGATAGGGTCTCATGTGTCCTAGGTTGGTCTCAAATTTACTATGTAGTTGGGGATAACCCTGAATACTGATCCTCCTGCCACCATAGCTAGTTTATGAGGTCCTGGGGATTAAGGCAAGGGACCCACACATTGTGGTATAGGTGATCTCAGGTTTCACAGAATTATTAGAGTTTAAAGCAGTTAAAGGAGAATTAAGTGTTTACCTGTTAACAGAATACAATTTCTCAACTACTTTGTAACTTAGCTCATTCTATTTTGCTACTTACAGTGCACTTTCCATATCTGCTGTATTTTCTTGCATTTTCTGAGACTGAGTAGAGGTAAATAAAGTTGTCATGAGATCCTACAGCCAGGAGAGTACCATCTAGAATTAAGCATGAAAAAGTGCGGACTGAAAAAAATGTCTATGTATTATTACCTTCTTTTAAAAAATGTTGTATCTCATCAATGTAACCATTATTTGGCATTTTATGAACAAATCAATTAGCATCCCCTAAAATCAAATCGTAAATCAGTCCAAAATAGAATCCTTCCTTGTGATACTTGATGGTCTTGCCCCTTGTACTCAGAGAGGGGCTGGGTTCAGTGCATTTATTGGTGGAAGCACACAACGTGCATGCAGTAGGCCAAGCATAGCTGCATAGCTGGGCAGGCACGTCTGACGCCAACAATTACAGGGTAGGCCTTCTTAGGAAGGAACACATTACACTGTTTCTGTGTCATCTTTAGTTGTACCTACCACTACTCTAAGGAAAATAACTGGACAGACTCCACTCAACTTTTGATTTTTGTTTTTGGTTGTGAGCCTAGCCTTTAACGGCTGAGCCATCTCGCCAGCCCTGAACTTTTGATTTTAAATGTTATATTTTGTAGAGCTTGTTGTTCCAGCATCAAAAACCTAATAAAAGCAAAACAGGAAACACTGTTGTCTCAAAATGCAGGGGCAGGCAAGATGGGAGGGGCAGAAGGGCAAGGGACCTGCTGCCGTGCTTGATGACCTGTGTTCAAGCCTAGGAACCATGAGGTAGAAGGATAAATGACCTAACCACAGTTGTCCTCTGACATGTGCATATATACATACATGTGAAAAACAACAGAAATTAAACTGATTAATCAAACATCTTCTCTTCACTTTTAATCAACAGCTATAAGAACACCCTCTCTGGGCCAATGTAGCCCCTTGATGAAGGTACACAGAGGCCTGGTTTTAACCCCTAGCAGTACAAAAAACAAAACCCACCAACCCAAAATATTCAAATGTTAAGAAATTCCGGGTATGCAATGCCTATAATCCCAGTTCTTCTAAGAGGTGGGAGAGTTATGAATTTCAAGCTAACTTGGAAATGACTACTCCTCAAAACAGGTCAGACTGACTCTAGAAAAGAATATAGCATAAATCAAACCACATACATAACAACAAAGTAACTGGAATATTGTGAAAACGTTTTTGAATGAGGTATAAAGATTTACTCAATGAGTTATATAAAATTCTTATGAATTACTAAGTGATTATATAACTCAAAACAATGCTAAATAGAGTATTTGGATATTAGTATACATCCTGGCTATTCAATTTTTTGGTAACACCAAGGACTAAACCCAAGGCAAGTACTCTACCACTGAACTCCATTCTCCACTGCTTATATCCTTGTATATACAAAGAAAAGGTTGCTAGTTAGATGTAACATTCAGCTGTTGTGGGACATCTGTGTTCTGTGTGAAGATGTATTACTGTGATTGGTTTAATAAAAAGCTGAATGGCCAATAGCTAGCAGGATTTGCAGGGAGAGGGAGGAACTGGAAATGAATCTAGCACATGAGAAATGCCAGCAAGACCCAGAGGGGGTCAGACATACAGAATGGAAGGAAGGTAAAAAGCCACATGGCAGTACATAGATGAATACAAACAGGTTAATTTAAGTTATATGAGCAAGCTAAAGGCCAAGCTTCCGTAATTAATGGGTCTCTGTGTCATTATTTGGAGGTGGGTAGTCCCAACGAGAAAGTACTGCTAACATTCAGCTTACTATATACAAAGATTTAGTGCATTCAGTACGATTTGGTTGTACTGCTGCTGCAGCTTTGGTAGTTCATGCTAAATGCATGCCTGATGATGATTACACTGTTTAATTGTTTGGGTTTCTTACAGTTTCCAGTAGTGGAGTTTAACCTGATATTCTTGGAAACAGATAAAAAGGAATGAACCTCATCAATAAGCAAATGTGATTTTGGTGAGTGCACAGCAAAGGGGGAGGGGCTGCCCACCTACTGAGTAGCGCATCACAGAGAGCTGCTCATTCCCATCGGTGTGGATGGACACCAGATCTCTGCTTTCTGCATCCAGAACAAACCACCTGTTTAGGAAGGAAAGAAGGAAAAAACAAAAACTGATTTTTTCTATATTTTTTCTTCAGATTTCAATTATTTTAGTTTTATGTCACTGGTATTTGGTCCACATATATGTCTGTGACAGGGTGTCGAGTCCCCTGGAACCCGAGTTACACACAGTTTCTGCCATGTGGACGAGGGAATTGAACCCAGGTCCCCTGAAGAGCAGCCAGTGCTCTTAACCAATGAACCATCTCTCCAGCCCTTTTCTACACTTTTGAGAAATATCAGTATTAATCTTTTAACTGAGTGGTTGTTTTTAAAAATGGAAAAAAAACAAAACAAAACTGCTGCTAGATAGATATGGGTCCAGTTGTGTTTTTATTTCTACTTAGGAATTCAATGAATGTCAACTGTACCTTTGTTACACATTGTTTAGACAGAAAAATAAAATGACAGGGTCAAGGTTTTGAAGATTATATTAGAGCTGAAAGCCAGCAATGGGGTGATGGAGAAAGGAAATGACAAACAACAGAACTCACGGAGGAAATGAGTAATAGCAGGCACTGAGAACCTGTAAAAAGGGTGAAGAGAATGTTGAGGGAGGTTAGGACAATGACAGCTGCATAGCTAGGGAAGTAGGCAGGACTGAATTTTAGTAGTTTTGTGAGTGAGGGACTGGAATTTCTAGGTAGCTAATTTAATCCATAACGTCTGTCATTTAACTCCACATGCTTGAGTTTAAAGGTCAACCAGTAGGAAGCTGGCACACGGGAGCCATATGGTCCATGTTTACTGAACATACATTGGCGCAGCTGACGGTGTAGGTTTGTTTTGAACTGTTATTCGGGCTACCATTGTAAGCGCTAAGAGCTGCCTTTTCAGAAAGGGAACAAGATGACATTACAAACAAGACTAACTGGATCTACAGATACAGAGTCACTATGAATATCAGGTTTCAAATTTTAATATGATTATGAAACTTTACATTTTCTTAGGAAAACTACATACATTTTTTTTTTTTAAAGCAACCTTAGCAAGCAACAAAGCCCAGACCATGTTCTCGTGTATAGAAACCTACACTGTTATAAACTCTTGTATATTAATTCTATTTTTGGAATAGTGTTTTACTTTGTACTTTAATTTACACGTGTGTGGAAGCACTAAGCTGACTCTGCACTGAGACAGGGTAGGGTCTCTCTCTCACTGAAGGCAGCAGCAGCTTCAAGATTCAGGTTCCTTCTCTACTTCCTGAGGGCTGGGATTAGAGGCTGGATGCCATGCCTGTTTAACTGCTATGTGGATTCTGGGGATCCAAACCCAGTAACTCCCCTGAGTGCATCAAGACCATTATCTACGGAGTCCTTTCCCCAGCCAGGCAAATAATATTTAACAGTAAGTGAGTGATGTTGTTAAAAGCAGTTTCCCTGTAGATATACAGTGATGCTGGCCCGCTCTTACCACTTTCACTGCACTGTATTTGACTTTCAGAAGATGCTGCCATGGCTGGGATCCCTGTTCTTACTCAAAGTCCCAGCACAGGGAAGTTTGTATTCAATCACTTCTCACTTCTCATTTAGGGTGTATATATCAGAACAGAGCTTCTACTGGGGAGTGATGTGCCATAACTATGAGGTTCTATGCAGCCTAAAGGATCTAATGGTTTTTTCCTAAACATAATGGCCATCAGGGATGAGAAATGATCTGTCATGATGGAGTAAGTTCATGTGCAGCACCACCCTTTATCACGATGACTTTTTTTGGGTGGGGGTCCAGTCTCATGTAGCCCAGGATGGCTGTCAACTTGCCCTGTAGCTAAGGCTGACCTTGATCTCCTGATCCTCCTACCTTCCCCCAAATGCTGGCTTACGCACAGACAATTCAGAGGTAGAACTACCTTAATGTATGTATCTCTTTTCCTTTAGAAAAATACACATTCATGATAGTATCTTTTAGACAAAGTGTGTCCTATGCCCTCTCTCTCTCTCTCTCTCTCTCTCTCTCTCTCTCTCTCTCTCTCTTAAAGATCCTCTAGTTATAAAAACAGGAATGTTGAGTGGTGAAGGGTACTTGTTACTCTTCCAGAAGACCCAAGTTTCATGCTGGGTAGTTGACAATTGACTGTTACACAGCTATAGGTGATCTGACACCCTCTTCTGGTCTCCAAGGATGACCACACATACATGGTATAGACAGACAGACACACACATGCATGAAAATAAAAATCAAAAGGAATAACTTTTGTAATTGGAAAGCCAAAAGAAAACAAAAACAAAAACCAGGTGGTGGCGGCACATGCCTTTACTTCCAGCACATAGGAGGCAGAGGCAGGTACACTGAGTTTGAGGCCAGCCAAGGCTATACAGAAAGACTGCTATGAAAAAATAAAAGCCCAATTCAACGGATCACTTATTTGATAAAGAACTCTTTATAACTCGGTAATTCAGATGTGGAACAGGATTTGAATATAGTTTGCTTAGAATGGTAAACAAGTGGCTAGTGCAAAATGCAAAGCATGCCATCAGCTACTTCACTCCCTCCTGGGTGACCACAACACAGGTAGGTGAGGAGATGCTGTAAAGATGGGAAATGAGCCCTTTGAAGTTGCTGGTGGGATTGCAAGTGGTATGTACAAAAGTCTGTCAAAGCATTAGAATTATATGATCTGGCCAGTCTACGACCATCCAAGACAACTCAACGCATACCCCTATACCAAACCTTGTCCATGAATGTTTGTAGCAGGATCATCCCATTGTCAAAAGTGGAAAGCCAAATGGCCGTAAAAAGTAATGGAGTACTATACACATAATGTAATTCTTTCAAGGTTTATTGCTCCAAGTGAAAGAAGCCAGTCACCAAGGCATGCTTGTGTGATTCCATTCATATGAAATGTCCGGAACTGGCAAACCTATATAAGAAAGGGTTGATCAGCTGCCTATAGCTGAACAGGGCAGGAGGTGGGTATAGAGGAATTGCTGTTAGGGTAAAGGATTTATTTCTTTGTGGGCTAATGAAAGATCTATGGATGTACTAGAACCATTAGATAATATACTTAAATGGGTTTTATGGTGAACTGTATCTCAATAAAGCTGTGCAGTGGTAATTATGCCCACTCGTGGTTATGTACTCATTTTTCCCCCTATAAATAATACAATACAGTCTTTGGGCGGTTGTAGAGCACTTGTCTAACACACAAGGCTCTGGGTTCAATCCCCAGGTACCATATGCACCACATACAACACACACACTTTTAAAATGACGTTATCACTGATAATGTGTTTCCTCTTGTGCTTATTTGTGGATCTCACAGCTGAGTTAATAATGTATCTTGAGGTCACTTAAGACTTAATATTGTTACCCTACTGTGTATTCAGCCGGTGTAACCTGCATTTGTTTAAAAGAATAGTGTAACTTGCTTTGAATTCTCCATGTAATAATCTACCTAAGCTAAAACAAAGCTTTAATCTTTTGCATGGCTCTAGCCCAGAACAATATATGCGTGTTTGTGTGTGTGTGTGTGTGTTATGATAATCATTCGCTGAGAACAGCAAATGCACTTATTTAATAAATTATATGTCACTAATGCTTCATTCCTTCTCATCTGATGCCTTTCTGTGCTGTTCAATATATACAGAGCAAAAGCCCTTTGTTAGGAACCACACATAGGGACAGATTCTCTGTAGAGAAACAAGAGGACTCAAACTCAGGCTCACTCTTGGTTAAATACACCAAGAGCAGTGCTTTGATTTCTTCCCTTAATGCAGTACTAATGCATATGGGTGATTCTGAGTCATGAATGCACTTATTACTTGGTGACATGACACAGACACATCGTTAAACATTTTACCAGTCATTTTTCTGGCTCATGCACAATTTGGACATGTTTTACAATAACCAGTTCTTAGCCCTGAATGTGACTTTTCCCTCAGGTATAAAAGAGAAGTGATTGTAATTTGAATGGCTAAAATAGTAACTTTTCAGTTTTAGACAGAAGTGTTCACAGACCAAAGGAAAAAATAAAAACAAATGGAAGGAAGGTCCACGAATCAAAAGCACAGAAGCAGGTGTGAAACCCAGCACAGAGTTGTATCTAAAATGAACAATGAGAATTGCATCTGGCGTAGATTCTATGTAGCCTCCAGCTCTGCACCAGATGGAACAGACTAACTGCCAACACTACAAATGTAGTTCTTTATTATAGTTCTCTATTCATGTGTTTTCTACTTACAACTCCAAGAAGTAATAATTGCTCTAACTTTAGTCACTAAGACTGAGTGACTCCACAGCTTCATAAATATTAGAAAGTAATTTCAGTGGGTTTCAACAAGATAACTTTTTAAATATTTAAGGTTTTTTAAAAAAAATCTGTGTGTATGTGTGTGGGGGGGTGGTGAGGGGGGGTTATGGGGGAGTGCACATGCCATGACATGCATGCGGAGGTCAGAGGACAACTTTCAGGAATTGGTTCTTGATTCCAGGGACTAAGCTCAGGGTTAGTGGCAAGCACCTTACCTGCTGAGCCATCGCCTAACTAATCAATCAGAACAATTAAAAACACTAGGGTTGTGTGTGAGCATATGTATTTGACACTCATGTATTCCTTTATCCAGTCAAACTGTGCTTTTGTGATTTTTCAAATCCCCCTAGCCTTACATTTCATTTAGTGCTAAGTAAAAGATGACTAAGTGCACACAAGAGTATTAAGAGTGCTGTATATTAGATGAATTTCCCAGATGAGATTGACAACACTCAACAATAGTTCAAACCTTCCACAATTTCAGATCATTCAGCTCACTTAAAGACCCTACCTGCCTGAGTGTGTTCCAATGGCCACCACTGTACCGCTTGGATGAAAATCTGCACAGTGTCCTGGTTCCTAGAGGAGAAAAAGACAGCCATGGAGGGTGTGGTGGTTTAAATAGTTATGGCCCCAGACTCATGTGTTTGTGAGGGCTTGGCCACAGGGAATGGCATTATTAGGAGGTGTGGTCTTGTTGGAGGAAATGAGACACCGTGGGGGTGTTTTTTGTGGTTTCATATGCTCAAGCTACACCCAGTGTGGGACACAGTTCACTTTCTACTGCCTGTAGATCAAGATGCAGAACTCTCAGCTTCCTCTCCAGCATCATGTCCCACCATGCTGATAATGGACTACAGCCCCAGCTAAATATTTTCCTTTCTAAGAGTTGCCTTAGTCATGTTGTCTATCACAGCGACAGAACCCTGACTAAGCAGGTACAGGAGAAAGACTCCTCAGCTCTAAGGAAACATCTTTCTTCACATAAACATGAAATCCTGGTCAGTTTTACTATAAACCAATGAGAAATACCAAGTTGATACAACTGAAAAGGAACATTAGGACTGACTGGCAAAGGGAAAAGATAATAGGCTCGTGGGCCAGGCAGTGGAACAATATGGATAACACCAAATATATTAAATATGTGCTGGGTGGTGGCAGTGGCATGCCTTTAATCCCAGTACTGGGGAGAAGGAGGCAGAGATACAGTTTGAGGACAGCCTGGTCTAAGGAGTGAGTTCCAGAATAGCCAGAGCCACACAGAGAAACCTGTTTCAACACCTCCTACCCCCTAACCCCCAAAAGACACAAAGACCTCATATTTCTTTCAGGCTAGAAAAGGTAGTTGTCTGGACAGTAGGGCAAAAATACAAGATCACTCATAAAGAAGACAGTGGCATCTACCAACTGCAACACCACAGCGGCCCAAATATTTCATAATTAATGCTCCACAGATACGTGAAGTCTAATTTTACCACTGAAACTGACAGGAAAATTGGGAATGTACGTGGCTCCCTTTGCCAAGCCACAGACATGAATTTAAATCAATGCTTAGTCCTTTTATGTTTTTGCTGCTTGCCACCGCCAGCAGAGGCATTTGCACAAGGAAATTACCCACTCACATCCACAAGCCTGGTCCACTCCAGCCTGTGTTCCACGGAGTTCCACATGCACACCTGCCTGTCCTGAGCACACGTCAACAGCAAATCTTTGAAGGGATGTGTTGCGAGGCCCCAGAGCTCATCTGTGTGACCCTGAAAACGGAAAACCTTATTGTAAGAACCAAAGGGTATTGTCACTAAAATGTAACATAGAAACTACTGGCCTCACACAGCTTACCTGCACTTCTATTTGGAAGCCATCGTTAAATGTTCCCCGTAAAATAAAGTTTCGTGATGTACCTACTAAAAATTGTTCTGCCTTTCCTTCTGCAACAGCTCTAATTGTGCCATACTGATCAGGAACCTGGAACAAATGAATGTGTGACGTTACCGTAAACAGAGTAACATGTAATAATCACTACCTGAATAGTACTGTGCTCACAACTGTATGCAGTTATAGGGTAATAAAGACAGACTCTAAGTCTGAAACAATGAGGTAGTCTCATCATTTTGTAATTTCATGTTCACTCACATTTTATCATGCAGAAGTTATACTGTATTATTATCAACATCCTCTGCCTCATTTGTAGTAATTATCTTTGCAGCACAAGGTCTCCCACAGACTACACAAGCTTCTCACAGCGATCTCACTTCTAGCCCCCTTCATTAAAATCTAAATGTGTATTCTGTATGCTTCCAAGAGTTAAGGGTTAGAAGTGTGGTGAAAGGGAGTAAGTCCTATTGGAGCTCATAAAGAGTGTGCATTCATTCTTGATTGTCATAAAGACCAAAAAGAAAAATCTCAGTGAATCAAAAAACACAGTTAGTTGGCCTTTTATCTGTAGATTCTGTATTAAAGGACTAAATCAATCATGGATTGAAAATATTGGAGTGAAAAAAATCTGTCTGTACTTAATATGTACCACCCCATCATTAGTTCCCAAATAACTCAGTAAAACATTTTGATAACATTCACACTGTATCAGATGAGGTAAGCAGTATACAGACAAAGTACACAGAAATACTTGTCAGCATTATGTAAGGGACTTGAGCACACACAGATCTCTGAACTCCATGGGGAGATTAGAGAAACTACTCCCTTACAGATAGCAAAAGGATGACACTGTAGAGTGTTCTAAAGACTATTCAGGGGCCTCTTTGTGAGACCCATTTCACTTACACACACTATGTGATATAATCTCAGTGACCTTTATACCAATAACCAACAATCCCACAGAATGATCCTGAAATGGGGCATGAAGGAGTTCCAAGATGTCTCTGCTCATAGTGTTTGCCTAACCTGTGTCAGGCCTCAAGTTCAATTTCTTGCACTGCAAAATAAAGCCCTCAAACTCCAAATTACATTGTTTAAAGCGGATCACTCTGTGCCATAACAAGCTTTTTCCTCTAGGGGAGGGAAAAGAATGGTTTCCCAGAAAAGTGGTCTCAAAATGGGACAAAATGCATGAGTAGAGATTCTACTATTTTAAAATTTTTAGCATTCCACTGACAGACTTACCTCAATTTCTCTTTCAGGGTTCAGATCATGGTCCCACAGAATTATCTTTCTGTCTTTCCCTCCTCCAGTCAATAGCATCCCATTTCGCAACTGACAGAACGTAAACACGCTGCCATCATGAGCTTTGATTTGTCTGCTGATCTGATAGATACCTAATATGGTAATGAGGAAATAAAAAGGCCAGTTAGTATTAACACATTTTATTAGTGGTGTCCTTCTGGAAACAAGCTTCAGCAGAGCTACAGGATGAAGACTCAGAATGTTCAGAGACTCATAATCAAAAGCCAACTCTCAGCAAGTTGGCAGGCAGAGAGCTTAAGGCTGAAAAGAATACTTCATATTTATGTTGATATTTATGTACTCTAAAAATTATTTTCTTACAGAAGAGTAAGCCACTAAAATAGTGAGAACTGTCCAAACAAAAGGATGTAAAATGTAGGACCAAACTTCACTGCCTACTCTTGTGCAACATTAGTGTGGTGTCATTCTGCCTGTAGAGCAAGGACAGAAAGAAGTATGAGGGTCGTATACACAATACCAGCTATCTAATTATAAAGCTATGACCAGGACCCAAGTCTCCCACTTCAGTGTCCCTGGAGCTTTGCAAAAAAGCTTTTGATAGTTAGCTCAGTATATAACAATCACTAGAAGAAATGGGAGGCTAGAAAAGAAATTATGTCACCCAATCCTGATTTGGAGTCCATGGTGCTTATTCAGAGGCCTCTAGCAATCACGTGAGGCTAGCCAGGCAAAGGGACAGCTTTTGGATAGAGAATTAGTTACCAGGCTCACAATGGAAGCCAGAGCCTTGTTTAAACATGACTGAAGTCAACAAATAGCCTTAGATCTTGTGGAAAAATGGGGGGGGGGTTGTTTAAAAACTATTCATTTTCTAAAATTATATACCAACTGGTGAATGGATAAACAAAACATAGGTATGCCTATATAAGTGAATATTATGTCAAAAAAAGGAGGTACTAAAACATGCCCTAACATGATGAACCTGGTAAACATGCTAACTAAACATGCTAAATAAAAGAAGCCAGTATAGTCAGGCATGGAACTTTACATCTATAATCCTAGGAGGAGAGTGAAATGTGTGGCTTTGTATAACTAGTTTCTTTTTTGTTTGGTTGGCCTTCTTTGTTGTTTTGTTTTTTTAACACACTTTACTACCTTTCCCAGGATGGTTCAGAACTCACTGTGTAGCCCAGCTGACCTCACATATAATCCTAGGACAGTTTATCTACCTTTGCTCTGATTGAATCTAGGTACCCAGGAGAGACAGCACACCTGAAAAACGTGAATATTCTGAGCACTGCTGACTTCCTTTAGGTCAGCAACAGAGAAAGGGGAGGAGAGAATGAACAGTGTGATCAGTCACACATCTTCGAGTCCTTCCTTGTATGTGCAGTATGAAAACAGCACATAAGAAATCACAAAAACAGCAAGACGTGGTGGTGCATGCCTGTAATACCAGCACTGGGGAGACAGAGGTGAGGATCTCTTGAGTTCAAGGGCAGTCTGGTCTACAGAGTCAGTTCCAGGACAGCTAAGGCTACACACAGAGAAACCTGTCTTGAAACAGGCCATGGATCTCCATGAGTTCCAGGCCAGTCAAGAGCTACACAGTAAGACCCTGTCTAACAACGCCACCACCATAAAAAAAAAAAAAAAAAAAAAAAAAAAAAAAGTGTAGAGTTTCATGGTTTCCCATGAAGAATGCACTAAAGTAAAATCAAGGTTTTTTTTTTTTTTTGTTCTTAATTCAGCCTATCTCTAAACACATCAAAGGACTTGTCAGACATGTATGACACTCCCAGAATGATGGATGTTAGAAAGAAGGCAAAATTAAAGAACATTTACTCCATCAGGACAAAAACCTCCATACTGTGACTGACTCAGTTCCATCCACTTCCTTCCATGCTGATACTGTTGTTGTCACAAAGCCCAAATAGTAACTAAGATATTACTGTTGAAAATCGCTCTTATGGACCTGCATTTCTGATGGTTTAGTTTAGGTCAAATATTATTTAAAATATTTGCTGAGAAAAAATGCTCTCTTTGAGTTTAAAAACTTTCCATCTAGGTTTAATTATAGAGCCCAGTCTACCCAAGTTTAACTTGCCCCTTCCATTTAGTCTAGTCTCTAACAGAACAGTTTGCATAAGCAAGTCTGCCTCCCCCCACAAGTGAAGACAGCTAGTGGGCTTTCTCTGTTCAGGCAAACGCAGACTCCAATGTCAGGGAGATACTGAAAGTTACGTCACACTATTACCAACGAGGCAAAGGGCCTCACCATGCTGGTGACTTGGTGGGCAGGCCAAACGGCTGAGTTTCTTAGATCTATAAAGGAGTCTGACCAAGATTAAAGAGTTACAATTATTTTAAAAACTTTTCTTCTTTGTGTGTATGTGTCTGGTGTGTGTCTGTGCAAGTTCAAATGTGAGAGATGAATAGGAGGGCTATTACTAGTAGGGCTGGGAAGAGGAACTACAGTTAGGAAGAGAGGGGAATAAAAATAGGTTATTCATTTTTCCCCTTCCCTTTGTCCTCCTTAAAATTAAGACCATGAGTTCTGATCCGATATCTGAGCACTGGCTCAGGGGAGAAACTTTATATATTCTAAATTAGTACATACCTCTGTGTGTGCTTGTGGGTGCTCACTCTCATATTACAATTCTGGAGGGAAAAGTTCTATATCACATGTGGGTTATATACGCATAATAAATAATTTCATTAGAAAGGATTTTATGAAGAACATTAAAAGCAACAGGTATGTTAGCAAATGCTCACACTCCTGATCAGGTAAGGGGGGACTGCCATAGCACTAGGTAAGAATATACAGCACGTGGAACACAACAATGGTATACCTTTAGGTCCTTTCCCAGGTGGGGGCTCCACAGCAGTTCTGCCCCAGATGAGCATGATTCCACCCGAGTCTCCAGTGAGAACATCTCCGTTCCCCAAGAATGCTAAACACTGAACAAACTTTGGTTTCTCATATTTCTACAATAAAATGAGAATCTTCAGTTTTCTTTTTGGCAAGGTGATTTTATGCTTACCCAACAATAAAAAAGATTAACAACACTACAACATTCTGATCCTTACCCCAAAAATTCCCTGTTTTCTTGTTAGTGAATTGCCACTCCAGGTCCAGAAAAAAATGTGAGATTTACCACATGTTATTATAGTATTTGCGTCTGTTGGGTGGAATTCCACAGTCAAAACAACTTCATTTGTTGTCTGTGGGGGAAAAAAAAATATGACACTTTTAGAAGAATATATATCTTACTGCTATCAAAATCCAATTATAGTTCCTTACAAAGACAGGAAAAATATTTTAGGAAATATCTTTTCTTCTACGATTTATTTCCCTAAATCACCTACACCAAGACAGGGTTTCTTTCTCTGTGTAGCCCTGGCTGTTCTGGAACTTACTCTGTAGACCAAGTTGACCTGGAACTCACAGAGATCTGCCTGCCTTTGCTTCCTGAGTGCTAAGATTAAAGGCATGTGCCTCTACCACCTGGCTTCCTAAGGGGTAAAAAAAATTAAGAACAAACTTCTAGAATCAAAGCTTAAATGTGATATCCTTATAATATTATGTTATCAATTCTTCTGCTGTTTATATATAACAGTATACTTCTTTTTTTTTTTTTTTTTTTTTTTTCCAAGACATGATTTCTCCGTGGCTTTGGAGGCTATCCTGGAACTTGCTCTGTGGACCAGGCTGGTCTCAAACTCACAGAGATCCATCTGCCTCTGCCTCCCGAGTGCTGGGATTGAAGGCATGGGCCAGCACTTACATATCAGGAAAGCACACTTCAAATGTACAATGCAAGAGCAATGTGTATTGTCTTAAAGCTCACAGCACTAGAGCCAGAAGAAGACCAGATGCTTTCTAAGTTTCCTATCCTCCACTTGTACACAGGAAATCAAACTAGAGGTGCTGTCTCTCTGGAATGGAACTGCAAGCAGTGTATGCTTTCAAGTTTACAGTTATTTTTTCAACATTATACTTGTGATATCCACTCATGTTCAGTCTAAATGTCATAAAATATTCCTTGGGGAAGGGGGAAAAAAAAAAACACCACCACATCTGCTGCTAACTTCCACTAGGGTAGTTCCACCTTTTTTTTTTTTTTTTTAAACTATTGTAAACATTACTATAATCTGCACTCTAGTGAATATATCAGGCTCGTTATGTTGGGTTTATACTCTGGAGAAAACTAGGCTGTGTCAGCAAGTAGGTCTAGGTTCAGCCTTAGCCAAATAGTTTTCCAAAATGGCTATATCAATTCACCCACCCAGCAGCAGCTCCACACTGAACCTTAAATTTACAAAGTACAAAGTTACTTATCAGGCCTGGGGTCTTTATGACTTAAGCAGAGAGAGCCTCCTGCAGAGAGGCTGTAAGGTCAATACATAGGGAGGAAGACAGTGGAGGGCAGCCAGGGATCAAGCCCTGGAACCAAGTCATTCATGGCCAAAACGCCTTCGTTCTTTTCTAAGAAGGCTTGCTTACCTTTCTGCCCTACCAGGAATAAATACTCTGCAGTTAAGCTTTGCTTGCTCTACAGTGAGCTATTCTGGATATGGACATTTAGAAGAGTGTGGGGGATCTGGATGAGAAAGGAGATTTGTGGTAGAGGACATTCATACATGATGTCTGGGGAAGTCTGGGCTGGAGGTACATAGTGTAGTATGGTAGACAGATAACAATGCCTTAGGTGGAGGGTCTGCAATAGAGCTCTGTACTAGCAACACATCCTGGGGAAAGGTGACAGAGGCATAGCCAGGGGGAAACGCAGCCCTCACCTGGGAGACTTTCCCACAAAAGAGAAAGATGTACATATTTCATTTGGCTGAATGCCAGTAGTGTAAGCTATGCAGAGTGGTGATGGCTGAAAGATCATCTATGTCTTCATTTACGTTTTTAAGGTGTGAGGTTATTTGACTGCCACATTCAAGTATAATCAAATAGATCCTGCTTAGTTCAGAAATTACATACACATAAAGCAACAACTAAATCCCATTTTTTTTTTTAAATCAAAAAGCTGGAAATATAATCCTGACAAACAGACAAGGAGCTGAAGCAAAACACATATTCTTCCTCTCTTAAGCCCCCGCACCCCCAGATAGGGTTTCTCTGTTGCTTTGGAGGCTGTCCTAGCTCTGTAGACCAGGCTGGCCTTGAACTCACAGAGATCCACCTGCCTGTCTCCCGAGTGCTGGGATTAAAGGTGTGAGCCTCCACCACCACGCTCTTTCTTAACTTTTTTTTATTGTGTTTATGCATGTATGTCTATGTGTGGTATTTGTACCTAAGTGCAGGTGCCACGGACTTAATCATAGCTGTCACGGGTGGTACCTGATGCAGGTGCTAGGAGCTGATCTCAGGTCCTCTTCGAGAGCAGGGCCACTTCTACCTGCTAAGCCATCTCTCCAACTTTAAAAACATATTCTTCTCTAAGGACTTACTTAGCAAAGCCATCCTGTATTCTTAGCATTTCTGACCCTTGTAAATGCAGCTGTGATATTAACTTACAACTGTCTTATCAGTCAGTCTGAGCCACAGTATTCTACAGCACTCACAGATTCTACAATCCCTCTAAATGCTACAGCACTCCTCCCTATATTCATTACACAAAACTTTGTATGCTTACATATGCCCTTCAGTTACATCAAGTGGGCTTTTATGTAAAACTCTCCTCTAGACTCATAAGGCCTCAGAGGCTGATGGAAAGGCCAAGTTCAGTAAAAGGCAGTAGCCATACAGAATGCTCAGTCTCGGAACTGAACATCTGTCTATTAAGATATTTCAGTATCATGATGTTTTCTGAAATATGAAACTGTTCCAAGTCGACTATTTTGTTTTATCTAACTATAGTGTTAATGTCAGATTCCTGATAAATTGGAAAAATTGATAAATGTGAGCTGTGAATTTATTCTTATAATCTGGATTCACATATACTATAAAGCTAAGCACCTATCATATAATGGACTCTAAAAGATAATATCCAAAACTTATTTTGATTTACCTTTATCTCTGCTACTTTTGATTTTTTCTGCCAGTCCCATACAGTGAGCATATGTTCATTGGAGTCATCAATAACACATAAATGAACACCTGAATCCTAAATTAAAGAAAAAAAAATGTCACTATTAAAACTACTAGTAGATAATGAAAATTTTGTTAAACTCCCCTGAGACACAACTGAATGCTGTTTTAGAAATACAGAAATTCATTGGCTTCTTTCCTATATCTAGTTTTGCTGCTGAGCTGACTCCCACTTGCCAGTTAGTCACTGATCACCATTAGATGACAGACCAGAGTCTCGTTCTTTCTCCAGCCTGCAGAATCTGGTGTAGAACTCTCAGCTTCCATGCCTGCCTATGTGCCTCCATACAGAATGAATTAAACCTCTGAAACTGTAAGCAAGCCCCAATTAAATGCTTTTAAAACTTTAAGTTGTTGTCATGGTATCTCTTCACAGCAATAAAACACTGACTAAGACAAATTAAATATAAATAAATCTAATATCTTGATCCGACCTAAATCAAATTTAGTACTTAGATTACAATAGTAGCTATATAACAATAGCTATGCTGAAAATTGCTAGCATCTTGTTTTTGGATGGATACATAATTATACACATATACAAAACAAACTCAGGTTTAGCTTTAAAACTGTGACTTACTGCTTTTGAAAAATCCAGGCATCCTACGCCACGCTCAAAAGTTCCAAGTCCAATGACATGCAGTGTGGAAAGGCTTACTGAATCCCACACCCTGACATGGGGTTGCAGAGGCTGTAAAACACAACACAGACTAGCATATCCAGGTGGGTATAGATATGTGCACCAGTCTACACAGTACATACATGTGCACCACTCCACACAGTAAATATGTGCATTCTACCAACGGTAGATATGTTGAAAACTACCACATAGCAATCTGCTTTTTGTTTGTTTAGGTTTTTTGTTCGTTTATGTTGTTTAGAGACAAGGTTTCTATATATAGCCCTGGCTGTCCAGAAGTCACTATGCAGACCAGGCTGGCCTCGAATTCAAGAGATTCACCTGATTTTGCCTCCTGAGTCTGGAATTAAAAGTGTGAGCGACCACACCCAACCCAATTTTGCCACCTTAGTAAGACTAAAACTACAAAATTTAGATAAGTCTCGAAAAATCTTTAATAGGTATCCCTACCCCCCCCCCCCATACTGTTGAAATAAGGGAAATGAGTGATCATAGCAACAAATAATTTGGATATTTAGTGTTATATGAACTCATTTAGTCCTTATAATCTGCAATGCTTACTCTAAGGAGATGAGACAAGGGGATTGTAACCATCTTTTATAGCTACTAAAAGGTGGAGTTAGACTCTACTTCTAACGTGCTCTGGTAACTTTTTTTTTTTTTTTTTTTTTTTTTTTTTTTTGAGACATAATCTTACAATTTTATCCAGGCTGATTACAAACTCTTAAACTCAAATTGTCCTCCTGCTTGAGGTCACCAAGAAATGGGTACTACAGGTGTGGGTGACCATCACCCCTGATATACTTCACTTTTAGTATTACCTTTATTCTTGATATAATGTACCTTAAAAAAAAAATAACTGTTTACTAAGTTCTACAGGAACAATCCTTAACAGAATACAGAACTGGAAGGGAGCTTCAATGTCATCTAACAGAACCATCTCATTTGTAGCTTTTCTTTATAGAAACTGAACCCAGATATATCATGTCCATAAAGATGGCTCAGAGGTTAAGAATACCGGTTGCTCTTCCAGAGGTCTGGAGTTCAATTCCCAGCAGCCACTTGGTGGCTCACAACCATCTATAATGAGATCTGGTGCTCTCTTCTGGCATACAGGCAGAACACAGTATACATAATCATCAATTTACTGCTGATGTCAGAAATAAGAGATAGTATATAAAACAATCTAGTGAAACCAAAGAGTAACTGAAACTCTAAGATATCAACTGCCTTCCTAATAGAAAAAATCAAGAGGGCCCATAAACTTGGAGAAACTTAGTTTAATAAGCCTGATCTTTAACAAGCAAGAGCCCTTCCATTTTCACATGTAGACAGTTTTCCTAGGGAGAATAATTATTTAGAAGGAAACAGCAGCTTGAATCCTACATCTTAAGACCTCCTTACATTCTAATATTTCCCCCTAATACTAGAAATCCTTTTATACAAACTTTCAGCAAGTAAGATAATAAGCTGTGGCTAAAAGAGTCAATCCTTGATAAGTCAAGTGCTTCTGCTCCTGATGTAGATGACCCAGAGACATCCCCAGCTCTGGCCTAACTGGATGCCATAATACAACACTGTTTCCTTTGTGGACCCTCCTGTTCAAAGCTTTTGCATGCTTAAGTATTCCAAACAACTAAGAATTTAAAAAAACAAAAGACTGTCATTCATACTATTCACACCTAAAGACTGAATTTTATCTGTCTTGAAAAGGAACTTCTCTAGCTACAAAGAAGTAACAAATTTCCAGAGATTATGCATTCTTCATGAATACATTTGTATTACTGCTTGCAAATATGCATTTCCAAACTTGAAATATAGGTGTGAACAGTGAAAAAAAAATAAAATAAAAGAGTCAGTCCTACTAAAAGCAGGAGTAGATACGTGAAACTGGCTGCTCACCCTTCCATCCTTGTCCACTCCAGCTATCTGTCCAGTTGCGATCCTAATCTTGTCAGGATGTATAGCCAGGCTAAAAAACAGCATCAACAATAGTTTTAAATACAGAAACATGAAACAGCATGAATGTACCTTTATATCATAATTTTTTAAGCAAATAGTTTTCAGTCTTAAAAACACACCTGGCCTATTTACTTTTATTAGTAAATTAAGCAAACTTCTATTTTTCTTGGTTAATCTTAGTAAATTATAGGTGAATTCACAGAAAATATTCATAATTTGGTATGGTAGGAATGAAAGCCATTTTCATCTGTTCAAATTCCTTTTTAGTTGCTGTATTTAGCCAGACATTTGAAGTATGGCCCAGTGTAATTTTTATCTATTAAAATGTAAGCATAGCTTCATCTCTATACAATCCTTATACACTAACTTAATTCTTTAGTATTTTAGGCATTTCTACAAACAAAAAGCAGCAGTAAATGTTTTCAAATATAATTCTACGAACCTATAGCTAGTTTTTAATGTTAAGCTTTTGTAAATCTACCCCAGGGCAATGAGTTCTAAAAGAAAATGGTAAATATAGCAACTGTACTCTAACTGACCATGGTAAACACAAAATCAACCATAAAATGTGTGTGTGCATGGTCGTGTAGGCGTGCAAGCCTGCCTGTGGAGGCCAGAGAACAATGTTGGGTGTCTTCCTCTATCTCTCTCCACCTCATTTAACATTTGCAATTTAAATTTTATTAATTTATTTGTGTGTGCAAGCCTGTACATGTGTATGTAAGTGTATGAATGCAGCAGAGATCAGAGGACAACTTGTGGGAGTTGGATCACATTCTCAGGTTCCATGGGAAGTGCCTTTGCTGAGTTATCTCAATAGCCCAATATTTATTTATTATATGTGGGAGGGTGTGTGTGTGCATGTGTGCCACATTCACTGCTGCTCATGAACTAACTCACTGCATACCCCACTTTATTGTTTGAAACAGGTGGAGTCTGTCAGTGAACATGGAGCATAGTGTTTTGGCTGTGCTGGTTGGATAGCCAGCCTGAGATCTGTCTCCACCCTACAGAACTGGAGTTACAGACATGTACAATGCTCAGCTTTTACATGGGATAAGAGATTTTTAACTCAGGGCTCATATTTCCACAGGATTAACCAAAGATCCTTTTCTCTAGCTCCTGTTCACAAAAATCACTGTCCCCCTCTAGAATCCATATGTAAAAATTGTATTTATTTTAAGGGAGAGAGCATGGAGGTCAGAGGTAGACTGTTGGTGTTGGTACTGTCCTACCATGTGGGTTCTAGGGATGGGACTCAGCTTGTCAGTTTGGCTCACATGCTGAGCCATCTTGCAATCAAGGAGTCTGCTCAACTGGAAAGAATTTTTGTTTCCTGCTACATGTTGCTCATTTCCCCCCCAGAAGACTGTATCAATTTGTCACAAGAGATAAAAACATTCCAAAGTTCTGTAATTTCTCCATATTAAGAATTGTATCTTGGAGCTGGAGAGATGGATGAGTGGTTAAGATCACTAGCTGCTCTTCCAGATTCTTCTAGAGGACCCAGGTTCAATTCCCAGCACCTATACGGCAGTTCACAGCTGTCTGTAACTGTCTGTGACACCTTCACACAGATAGACACACATGCAGGCAAAACACCAATACACATAAAACAAAACAGGAAGAGTTTGTATCTTTTGAAATGTTTCAATAATTTGGCATAAATGCTATCAGGTTTTCATTTCTAAGGAGGTTAGAGTTTACCAATACTTCTGCAATTTCTTTTCTTCTTAAATAGTTTATATCTTGCATCTAGACGTTAAAACTCTAGGGGCTGGAAAGATGGCTCAGGGTTAAGAACATTGGTTGCTCTTCCAGAGGACCCAGTCCAATTCCCAGCACCCACATAGCAGCTCACAATTGTTAACTCTAGCTCCAGAGGATCCAACACTCTCACATAAGCATACAAAACACCAATGCACATAAAATGAAAATAAATATAAATCATTTAAAAAAAAGCCTAAAACTCTATTACATTAACATTTTGCTGTTTCTTTTCGAACAAAAATTTTAAATTGTAATTTCTGCACTAGGTGACACATTTGCATGGCTCTAGTATCACCAGCTGGTAACCTTTCCCAGCCTGTGACACAGCTTAAAGGTAACCACTACAGCTAGCTTCTTTTCAGTGGGAACTGTAGGGAATATTTTACATATGTAGAAGCACAATAGTATTTTGCCTGTCTGCTTTTTACAGTGCTCCGTCCTCCTTTTCTGCCTCCAAGCCCAGGCCTCACTGCTGCATTAACTACAATGTTCCCACCACCCTCATTCATTCACTAGCACCCAGCTGAGAGACCAGATACTTCTAACACTTTCACTTCTAATGCTTACACTGCAACACAGTACCGATTCTGTACGTGCATAATTGTGCAAGCAGGAACTGTTTTATCTGTTCTAAAGGCTAAATATCATCTATGTACTCCCCAGCATTCATATGAGAGAAATGTTTATCTATTTGTCAGGACAGTATGAAGAAGCTAAGCTTTGAAATGTGAGAAGACAATGGATTCTGGTAACAAGTGAGTGACTTTAACTAAAGAGTGGCAACATTCATTGAGTAAAACCCAAACCTAAGTATTTCAAAAGCTCTGTTGTTGTTGTTTGACACCACATGGGTTACTTAGGATATGATTCAGCTATGGCTTCTCTCCCTCTGAAAGGAAAACCTGAGGCTCAAAATTTATCACACAGGACAAACCCTCAATAAACACTAAGAAATGAATGAAAAACTACTTCCAGAAATTCATGAAGTTGTCTTTCTCCATGGAATTTCTTATGCCAGGCCAGACAGAAAGAACTACAGACCTGAGGCAGCAGAGGGATTCCACTGAGGTTGAGAACAGAGTCTTTTTTAAACCACTGTTGTGGTGCATTGAATAAATAACATTCTTCCTTATATCCTAAGCTTTCTAATGGTAAACTTCCAATACAACTCAAATAATGATGGTAACAACGATTATGATGAAGGCAGGGAAGCACAAAATTGACAAATGGTAATTGATACCAACCATTTCACACAGTCTGTATGACCCAGATAGTGTCGTTGAGTCCTCTCCTCATAATTAAATAGTACCACTATTGATGCAATGAAATAAACTATCTCCCCCGTAGGAAGCAGGTAAACATTCGCTCGACAGTCCTTCCCTCGATAACCGTATCTTAAGGGAAAAGTCAAGGTTTTAAAGCAAACACTCAAGGGGGTTTCTGGAACCGTGGAGGCACAGCGAGGGGAGCACTGGGTCAGCCAGGACACTCACATCTCCTTTCCTGCCCAACCCTAAGCCTTTTACTGTCTTACTGTCCACATTCCTTGAACAAAGTTCCTAGTATGTAGCAAGCACACAGCTGGGAACAGATGAATTGGGGCCTGTGTGGACAGTCTATTAGGAGGAAGTACACATGGAGAGACCCAGCTTAAGGAGAGAGAGAGACTGAAGACTCTGAAGACTCACCCAGAAAGACAACCTGAATGCTGGGCCTATAATAAGGCTAGTTAAGTTGTTTGCTGTACAGAATGGCAATAAAAACTTGTGCCAAATTCCAGGACTGGTGAGCTTCTCCAAGTTAATTTAATTTTGCCCAGTGTAAGGAATTTAAAGAGTATGGGGAGGGGAGCATAGAAGGACAGAGACAGAGAACTGAGTTTACATGCCTCCTTCCGTTTCACTGAATTTCTTAGAGTCTGTAATGACTCTCTCCAGGCGGAGCCGGTCTAAGCCTGGCAGAGAAGCAGTCAATTTCAGAACTACAATCACCCTTGCTAACCAGAGCTCTTTAAAAAAATCCACGGTTGTCATTCGGCAGTACATGTTTGTGACCCCAGCACTCAGGAAGCTGTGTCAGGAAGACTCTTGTGATGTTAAGTAGTCCTAGGCTACATAGTGAGTGCAAGGTTGGGTAGAGAAGACATAGCAAGACCTCATGTCTCAAAATAATAAAAAACTAAAATAAGGTTTCATCATATATATCATTTCATTGCTTAAAATTCTTACAGCAGCCCCGTGAGGCAGGTGTTATCTCTTTCTATAAGAACAGCAAGGTTCACAGGGATAAGGGCAGAGCCAGCATGCAGACACTACCCTTCCAGCTGCAGTCAGGAACCTTTCCTACCACACCACCACTAATTGCTGCAGAGCTCATAGAATACTACTGTCCTGTCTGTATTGATTCTGGTGATGTTAAATTGCTATTAGCAAAATATATCTGACATGTTTTAGAGATACTGTCTCCTTTTTAATTTCTCAAGTGGTTCTTAAGTCTATTGTGTTTTATTTCTGGTTTAAGGACAGTTCGATTAATTAGCTGAGCAAGTTTTTATTAAATTAGAAAAAGCAAGTAGGTTTGTTCTCTTCTTTGGGAAGGATACACCCACTCCAGTTTGAGCTTCTCAGGAGGCAGTTCTGTTCTGATGTCATCATAGTTGTCAACATCCGAAGGAATGAACATGGTAATTGGCCGACCTCGCATAAACATTTTAATATATTCTCCTTCTGTTGAAACATAAGACAAAAATTAAATCACATGTATTTTCCATGTAACTGTAGGAAAGTAGATTACTGATACATGAAAACATGACAAGCTGTTTAAGTTTTCCATTATATGTTTTTAAAGCCCATTATAGAGTATAAGTAGAAAACGAAGGCATACTAAAAATATCTAGTCCAAGACAATAGAAGAAAAAAAATCATAACAAAGTGGCCATTTGTTTAGTTGAGAATAACTATTTTCATCCAAATGCCAGTAGCTGTTTAAGCAGACATATTTCTACAAGAAGCCAGATAAAGCTCAATCAAGTTAAAAAAAAAAAAAAAAAAAACACAAACTTGAATGACGAAGGAAGGGAGGGAGGGAAGAGGAAGGAAGGAAGGAAGACAGGAAGGCAGGAAATAATCAATAGGCAATTTGAAAAAAATAAATGAATGAAAACCACTGTATGTCATTTCAGACCTGTAGAATGATTAGCAAAACCAAACAAAGTATAAAGTATAAACAAGGGTATGGAAAAACAGGATCATTGCATATGCTGCTGCTAGGGATGCCAAATGATGCCACCGCAGTGGAAAATCAGGGTGGAGCTCTTCAGAGACAATTCTAATAGAATTATTGCGTCATCTGGCAATTCTACAACTAGATATTTTCCAAAATAATGTAAATCAAGACCTTGATCAGATTATGAACACTAAACTCTCATGTTCACAGCAGCATTGTTCCTAACAGTCAAGGTCTGCAAACAACCTCAATGGCCACTTACAAATAAAGATGAGGTGTAGACAAAACTAAGCCAGTCACATTAAGACAGTGTCAAACTCATGAATGGGGGAAGTGATAGTTAACTAGGGGTTACAGGGAGAGAGAAACGAGGATCGAGTGACAGTTCAGCCAAGCCAGAAGAATGAAAATTAAGTCTGTTGTACAATGTTACACTAGTCAATATTAATTACATTACATGATTTAAGACAGCAGATCTCATGTCAGATCTTCTTACCATAGTAAACCAAAACCATGATCTTGGAATATATCCTAAGAAAAAGACTCAAACATTTTTTTCAACTTAAAGCGACAGGGAGTTGAGAGCTATGATACACAGCAATGAGCAAGGCTGCGCCTCACACCTTCAATGAGCTTCATATCAACAATGAAATTCAGCTGTAACACAAAACTTTCAAGACAAGGAGAGTTTTCCTTTTCTTACTAGCACCACAGGTTCTGAAACAGCTTTTATTTATATAAACCCATAGTTATTTATAAGATCTTCAATAGTTTAAAACTAAAATATTTTTAAAAGACAAGTCAGAATCAAATCAACATTGATTATACATCTCTAACCAAGGGAAACAATGCTCTATGAAACAGGTGGGAGCTGGGCATGGTGGCTCATGCTGCAATCCTATCATTCAGGAAGCAGAGGCAGGAGGATCACCCACAAATGCAAGGGCAACTTGGTCTATGTAACTAAGTTCCAGGCCAGCTAAGATTGTATTCTGAAACCTCTCAAAAAACAAAACCAAACAAACCAGAAGGGAAAAACAAAAACAAAACCAAAAACCCACAGATGGGACTATGGATTCCCCCAAAAGCTAAGAAACAACAACAAAAATCACAAACCCCACCTCTCTCTGCCCTAGCCTCTTGATGACCCACAAGGGAAGGAGAATGAGGCTGGGTACAAGGCACAGGAATGTCTAGTGTTTATTAACTTGTCTGGCACAAAATGAAAGTGTGACCATCACCAACCAGAGGCTGATGTGATCTTCAAATCTCTATCAATGATCCAAGTTACATTAAAAAATAAAAAAAAATCCAGTGTTCAAGATTCAGGAGTTTATATAATGTAACTATGAGGAGGAAGAGAGATTACCTGGGGAGTGTCTGCCTACAGCCATCACTTCAGATTAAGAAGCTGTGCTTCTAATGGTGAGAAGTTCAAGTTATTTTTATTATTACTACTCACAGTGTGCTCAGCCTCACGGCTTGATCCAACAGGGCAGGCCCTCCCACACTGTGCTTTCACACCACATGATGCATGTCAGTGTCATCTGAATCTCAGTGTGGGCCTTGCTTCCAGATGATTTTTAGCATAGCTGAACTTTGACAGCAACTCAATGGTTACCAGCTGCAAACTCTCCCTTCTAGAATCATCTTGACATATGTACCTGCCTCTTGGGGGGAGGGGGATGCCAATCTCTCTTACAGGAATTCATCTATGATATATAACTTTCTCTCTTGATTTTTTAAAAATAATACATTTAAATTTATTTGTGTGCATTGGTGTGAAGGTGTCAGATCCACTGGAGCTGTAGTTAGGGTTGGGTGCTGGGAATTAAACCCAGGTCTTCTGGGAGAGCAGCCAGTAAGTACTCTTAACCGCTGAGCCATCTCTCCATCCCCCTCTTTTGATTTTTTTTGGGGGGGGGGGTGTTTTTTCGAGGCAGGGTTTCTTGTATTGTTTTGGAGCTGTCCTGAAACTTGCTTGGTAGAACAGGCTGACCTTGGACACACAGAGATCCACCGGCCTCTGCCTTGAGTGCTGGGATTAAATGTGTGTGCCACCACTGCCCAGCAAGGGGGAGGTTTTTTATTGTAGATATGAAAGAAAGAAAAGCCAGAGTCCACAGCAGATAGAAGGAAGTAGACTGAACATGACAGCGACTGTGCACGGCTAGGGATATCGTTAGAGAGAGAAGAACAGCAGGAGATAAAGTACAGTGATCAAAGCAGAGCAAAGAGAGAGAGAGAACACACCAAGAACATGGGGGTTATAAGAAGGAGGAGCTGTGGGGAGGGTATGGCAGAGGAGGAGGTGAGACCGGCCAGAGATAAGGGAAATTACTCCTGCTGGTAGATGGCAGCTTTCCTGAGGAATTCTGGCTTTCCTCTAATCCCAGAAATCCTCCTTGGTCCAGACTGAGCTCAATAGACTGCCTGTCTTTTGGAGTTTGGGGAACTGGAGTTTTATTTGGCCCTAATTTACAATCCCCCAGTCAGCTCAGATAATGTTCTCCGGGGCTCAGGGCATTCAAAGCTGCAGTCACATTTAGACAAAGCTCAGTGCTTAGGTTTGATTCCCAGCATTGCACAACAAAGAAACCAAACCAAAACTACAACTGGTTTTCAGTGGGTAAGTTACAAACAGAATAGTATTGTCCTAGCTGCCACATCTAATAATAAACAGCCTTATAGGAAAACTTTATCAAGCCCTTTAACTCTGCTGTGACTGTAACAAAATCCAGAAGCAGGAAGACAGCAAGTAAAAGGGTCTTAGGTATCTGAAGCCCTACTAAGCCTTTCCTTCCAGCTTGCCCCGGGTACACCCTCCTTTCCCACTGCTAACTGCTTCCAACAGGACTCCTGCTTTCTGTGTTTAGCTGCTGGCCAGGACCTGTCGCCTCTCCAAGCTTTCCTCTTACTGTGCTATGCCTGAAGGCACAGGGTCCAAGGTAATCTTTTCTGCTACTGTTCACCTGAATATATCAGATATAAGTAGGTTTCTTCCCATGTTAAAGCAAATGGGTTTAAAACTAGTAATCATTGATACACAAAAGGCTAAGAAAAAAAAAAATAATTCACAATTTTAAAAGGATGTTCAAAAATAGACAAAAATATAAAAAAGTTGTAATGTGCAATACAAAATGAAGATCAAACTTTAAAAATGTTTACAATTTACAACTATATATTTGAGTGCAAGGCTTTTACACACACAATTACACACTGGTACATTGCAATTATATCACAAAAACAAAGACTTGAGGAAATGAAATAATAAGCTCAATGTCAGTTTCTAGATTCTGAGTTAACATATCAAAGCTGCACACCTGTATGTGGGTTAAAGGCTTTACTTTCTCAGTTTTAGAGACAATTCAAGTATAATTGCTCAAGTCACATTCTAACTCTTTTGCACAGGCGTACTTCTCTAGTATCTGATCTACCAGTGGGATCACTTACCTAGTTCTCTCACACTAGTCTCCACAGAAACCCTGCTCCCTACCTCCCACAGTCTACACCTGCCCAACATTTAGAATCTACCAGTTTCTTTTCTCAAATTCAGTCAGGACAGAACAAACTGTGTAACTGACAGGTCCACTCTAGTGATTATTCTCCAGGAAGAATAAGCTAATTAAAGAGCAAATAAATGTATCAAATCCTATACCTAATGCCCAGTGTGATCAACATATGATGTCTTCAATTCCCATGGGAAACAGGCTGGATTTTTTTTTTTTTAGAGGGTGGGGATGGTGAGACAGGGTTTCTTTGTAGCTTTGGAGCCTGTCCTGGAACTTGCTGGGTTTGAACTTACAGAGATCCACCTGCCTCTGCCTCTTGAGTGCTGGGACTAAAGTTGTGCGCCACCACCACCCAGCTGGGAAACTGCTTTTAAGATAAAATTCTTTAAGATAAAAACTCAGTTTCCTTTTTTCCTCTGCACAGACCAGCCTGTCCATGCTGCTCTGCTGCACCATGACCCACCCACGCATCGACATCATTTCTCTTGTGACCTGAGTGGCTCTGAAGAGTGCGCCCATACAAACCACTCTTACAAACCCATGCTAAGTTCTCCTTTCCCTTCCAAACATACTAATCAAAGACAGCCCTTTCTCAATTCCCCTATGAGGATTCTGTAAGATCAGAGTGCTTCTATAGAACATTCAGTAACAGCGCATGTCTCTGAACACAGTGTTTCCTACTTTTAAAGGACTTCTGTATAAACTGTTCTGCCTTAAGAGTTATGTGAAGTAAGCTTTTGCTGTGATTAATCTTCTTAGGTCAGAACACCATTCAAGGACACTGCCATTTGACAGAAGAACTAGAATCCATGGCTGTCCACATTCATTGCTTTTTCTGTATATCAGCATCTATATTTAACAAAGTTTGGCTAGAGTCAAAATTGTGTCTTAAATAAATTTAGTATTTTTCTTGGGTATGTCAACCATTATGTAATCTATACTACTGTACTGCAAAATGTTCAGATCTAACTGAAGAAAACTATCACACTTCAACCTTATTTATAATTTCTGTGTAAAAACTTATGACCTAAAGAATATAACCAATAAATAATATTTTCCTTACTAGAGTAAAAGAAAATAAAGACTCATAGGAATTAAGTTAAATTGCTAACAAAAAATTTAAGCACATTTTAGCTCAGTAATAGACCAGAAAACAAAGATAGCTATGACACAAGAAATGAACTGCAAAAGCATGCACAGAGAAGGCATATCTAAAACAGCATGCTTCAATTAAATTTGCAAGCAATTTGAGGAGAGTATAAAACTGACACATAAAACTTACCTACTTTGCAATTAAATTAAATATACAGAGTTATCCTGTTTTGGTCAGAACAAGCCAACAGCAAGTAGCCAGAAATAACAATTAATAAAAGGGAAAATTTTAAGAGGAAATGCTTTGTTAGACTCATTATATGAGTCTTAGCAGCAAGAAACAAGTGATTATTTGCAACCAAGTTGGCAAGACAGGAAATTGAGTTAAAATGTATCAATCTTTTAGATGGCTTTTCTAAGTTTTAGAGGAAATATATTTTTCTGATTTCTTAATGTTGCTGTATTTATTTTTACTGTTCATCTTAATTCTTCAGGTCTCACAGAAGACAGATTTTTTTTTTTTTTTTAAAGCAGTTACACTTAAGAGTTCAAATTACCATGGTATTTCCTTTGTTAAGAGGAAAGCCCGACTAGTTATGATGAAAAGCCAAATAAGAGATCCAAGGAGAGGCGGGCTCAGGGGGCGCCCACTGCAGAGCTTATCCTTACCTTGGCTGTTTTTTTCACGGGTTGACATTTTTGCTGGTTGAGACAAAAATGACATCGTACAATAAAAACCGAGCATTTTCTTGAATGACTACAGTAATATATCTCTTTGGTTACTATGAACTAATAAATTATGCTGAATAAAATTAAGTCATATTCTTATGAATCAGCAAGTTAGAATGATATAAAAAAAGCAACTATTTCTAAAGAGAATTTTTAATTTACCTTGATTGATGATGACATCTTTGTGTCTAAAAAAAGAATGCAAAGAACACATTTATTTTATGTGGCTCAACACTAGAATCACCCGAAAGCATTTAAAATTTTTGATGTCTAGCCCATCCCCTAGATAAATCTCTACAAATAAAAATCAGGAAGTAGGATTTTTTTCAGTTTCTCAGTGGTCTCAACTACTAATATATACTATTTTATAAAACAACAAATACCACACAAAATCATCGCAACAGTGAAACACACACAAAGAGCATAATACTCAAATCAAGTAAGATCGAGATACTAGAGAAAAATAGGAAGACAGTTTTTCTATGAAGACTTAAAAAAATACACCTACAAGAAAAAACAACTGAAATAGATTAAAAAAAATCCTCACACACAACAGTACAGAGACACAATTATTATTTTTTGTATATGACAAATGTGACTTAACTTACTTGTCTGCACTTTTTATAACCTTTGATATTAGTTTTGATGTTGAAACGGTTTTCAATAATTTATTACGACTATCATCTGAGTTTTCCCATGAGTTATGTGACTTTTCAGCTGTTGGTGGACGTTTTATGCTAGAAAAAACACATTAACTTCTTAGAGGAAGGTTCTGAGTAACAATGACATGTAATTGACAGTTATGTAGAAAATAAAAGATGAGATTAGCACTCTTAGAGTGAGTCCAGGGGTGAGAAGGATAAGCTGAAAGATCTGGCTGGATGAGTGGAGGAGTTAAACAAGGCAATTAGGAAGTCTGTCATTCAAAAGATCTACCAAACAAACATTAATCTGGAAAAAGAAATCTCTTCAATTTGCTGTTAACAGAAGAAAATGCTTATATCTCTATGTAATATTTCTCATAGTTTATAGCTATAAAATATGAATTTAACCTGAAATGAGACTGTGCCTTTCATTCTGCATGCAATTATGTTCATGTAATTAATTTACACACAGAACAAATTTCTAAATAAACTGTGACACTAACATTGAAATTCTTGTTTACAGTTTTAAAGACTTTTATCCAGGATCAGAAATAAACAGTATGTGATACAGTAAAAAGTTATTGGTATTATCAGTGAGGATTCCCTGTATTTACAACTGAAATTTTATGGTTTGTAAGTGACTTTCTGGCTGCATTGCTAACCACCCTGAGACTCATCCAGTCTTCAATACTTCAGCAATAGTGCATCCCAAGATCAACTGAGAAGAAAGGGCAAGCACATTTCCAGGAGACGGTAAGCTGAAAAGGAGACTCTGGGACGAAGAGACACCAAGTTAATCAGAACCTTAAAGAGAATATGAGCCTCCCTCCCCTGCACACAGCATGAAGTTGCATAACGAGTTAATAAGCCACTTTTGAGAACTCCACAGGAGCCCAGGCAGAGGAACCACACACCCTTAGACAGCAGCAGAACTTGCGTCAGGCACAGAGACAAAGCATTCTGTAAACAGTAAACATGCATTAATCAAGTGAAGAATATTTTGGTTTCAAATGTTCATGATAGACTTGAAGCAAAATATTAAAGTAGCTAAAAAGAAATGTACTACAACTCTTTTAGGAGTGATTAACATTTATTCTACTGAAGTTCTAAGTAGTTCTGGGGATTAATAGTTTCCTCAAATTCCTATGCAGTACTATAATAATAAAATGCCTAAGTAATGCTAAAGCTTGAGTCTTTTTTTTTTGGGGGGGGGGGTTGTTTTTCCAGACAGGGTTTCTCTATAGCTTTGGAGCCTGTCCTGGAACTCACTCTGTAGACGAGACTGGCCTTGAACTCACAGAGATCTGCCTGCCTCTGCTTCACAAGCGCTGGGATTAAAGGTGTGCACTGCCAACACCTGGTTAAATGGGCAGATTTAATTAAACTGGTATCAGTATTTGTTACAGGGCAGCTGCATCAGTGAGCCCCAGAATGCAGGCCTACACTCCTAACTTAGGCTCTCACACATTTGTTAGAAAGTTTTTCCCTTCTTCCCCTCTCATCACTTTAAAATATTAATTATTATGGAACAGAGAAAAGCTTTTAGCATAGAAAAGACCAGGTGAAATGAATTCATTTCCATACCCAAGCAAGAATTTATACTCCCAAGACCCAAAGCTGAAACTGAGACACAGCCACAAGAACCTTTTATTTAAAGGGGCCTTGCAAGTTAAGGTTGTAATGATGCCAAAATGTAGTGAGGATAATTAACATGGCAATTTCTATCCATGGCTATAAATTTATACACAACTACATAAAAATATTAAAAGTCTATAATTTTATTATAAAAATACTGTTTGAGTTGTTTATAACCCTTTTTCCTTTTATCAAATTGTTTGTAACTTAGCTTCTTTGCCAGTTGTTACTGAACAATTATGTTTCTAAATATTTTATTCCCCGGGTTCTAGAACACAGATTATAGCTTTCTCTTGGAGTCCATGGATAGCTAACACTTCCCAAATCACACAATTTGGGGATCTTTACAACCGGTCCCTAGCTCTGTGCTTGGGGATGGTTAAAACCTTTTGGTGGGAGCGGAGCTCTTGCTCTCTGGAGTTTGTCTGTTTATTTGGAGAGGTTGTGAAGAGGGCTGGGGAGAAGGTGATGCTCGCATTTGTGGGCTCTGATCATTAGAGTGAGACTCCTCTTTCTTTTCTCTCTGTCCTTGTGGCTTGTCTTTCTTTTTTTCTGTACCACTGTAAAATAAAGTATAACATGGAACAACACATATTTAAACAAACTTTAAAGTTAAAATAATAGTGTGATTATAACCCAAGACCCTAACTCATATAACTAATACAATTTATATTTTTACTCAATAAGGAAAAGTAATCTTTAATAAAGAATTAATTTTTTAAACAATCTAAGGTAATAATCCATCCTATGAAGATTGCCCTTTTGGACAGAAGTAATAGCTAATGGATTTTGTAATTTTGGTAGATTTCAGTGGGGCTGTAGAAGCAGCTCTCTTACTAACTTCAACTTGCATTCCCTGTAAAGAAACTGACTAATGGCATACGAAGTGCTCACATTTAATCCAGACTAGTCCTGGGCTCCTCGGCCTGTCAACTGAGGTTTCTCTCTGTTGGGGGAAGGGAAGGGTGGGCTGTGGTACAGAACATTAATTCAGGGGCTCACATATGCTAGCTAATCTCTTCTCCCAATGAGCTACACCCAGAGCCTCCATCAAGAGTTTTAAATCTACTAAATATGTATTGCTTATTACAAACCTGCTAATGATAAGTTATTTTAATTATAAAAGGCAAGTATAAAAATACAAAACATATATGAAAAGAAAATGTAGTTCTGTGAAAACCAAGTTTTGTGCTTTATAAAGACTATAAGAAAATGTTTAGACTAAAAATGCTGTGAGGGGCTAGAGAAATGGCGTAGCTGTTAAGAGTGCCCATTTCTCTTCTTAGCATCCATGTTCAGTGACCCTGAACACAAATGTGCATACTAACACATATATACACATAATTTTTTAAAAAATACTTTAGAGGCCTGGCACTCTGGCGTATGCCTTTAAATGCAGCACTCACAAGGCAGAGGCAGGCAAATCTCTGAGAGTCCGAGGCAAGCCTGGTCTAAAGGACAGCCAAGATTATTTCACAGAGAAACCATGTCTTGGTAAAAAACAAAAGAAAACAAACAAAAACAAAAAAATGACAAAAATAAACCAAAAAACCTGTTTTTTTTTAAATGATATTAAATGAAGGTGAAGTGACTTTCAAAGTCAAAGAAAAAAATCTAATATATTGTTTTACCAGAACTTTACATTTCTTATTTTGCCTTTTCAGTAAGAATTACCAAGTTACTTATTTTATGTAAGACAGTCAACAAATGTGATCAGAGATACATCCTTTGAAAGAGGGAAAGAAGACTGTGCCGACAGATAACTAAATGTTAATGTATTTTAAGTTAAAATACCTATATTTATGCAGAATTTTTATGACTTTGCACTTGGATACAAGTCTCAGCTGCATCTGTGAGCAATGCTGCAAGGGCTAACTCAAGGTTTGCATTCCAGTGTTGAAAGGGTACAGAACCATCAATGTTTTGGCTTTGGAGTGCATGTTTATATAGTCTCTACAGTTCCACTATCACATTGTAACAGTTGGAAATGTAGTAATATCTTTTGACTCTTACACTTTTGAATCTGATTCATTCCTGACACCTTTGCACCAGCCATTTTGATAGATGACTCTCTGTTCAGTTTTTAAAGAAGCGTGTGCTAAGAAACACATTCCTACTGGCAATTAGCAGATTAAACCTTAAAATTAGAAAACTGAGCCTGGAGATGGTCAGTGGGTAATGTGCTTGCTGTGTTAAGCGTGAGGGTCTGAGTTTGGACTTCCAGCTCCCACATAAAAGCCAAGCTTTGCAGTATTCTCTGGGAACTCTGCCATCTGAGGGTTTGAGGTGGGGGATGGGACAGGACTCCAGCACTGGAAGTGGGGGGGGGGGGGGCAGGGATTCGTGGATTCCCAGGGCTGGAGAGCCATCTGATCTAGTTAAAACTGCAAACTACAGGTTTAATGAGAGGTCTTAAAAACTAAGGTAATGAATGATGACCATCCAACATCAACCTGTGACCTCCCCAGATACGTTTATGTATTCATATTCCACACAAATAAGGAAGGAGGGAGAGACAGAGGGCCTGAATTAGATGTCACTTCTTTTGTACTGGTCTTCAAACTGTCCTTTATGCTTAAAAGCAATATTCCTTTGGGGTTACTTAAAAGAAAAATCTAGTGCCTCCGAAAAGTACAGGAACAAAACCAAGTTTGTGTCCTAGGTCACCCTTCCCTTTCCTATTGCGTTGATCACTACAATGCAACAGTACACCAGCTAGCTAACAAAATCAGCTAAAACTAAATTGTTACTGAATAACAAAATGGATGTTTATCAAAAAAATTATATCATAAGGGCTGGAAAGATGGCTGAGCAATTAAGAGCCCTTGCTACTACTCTTGTGCAAGACCTGGGTTTGCTTCTCAGCACCCACATGGCAGCTGGTTACCAGCAACTCCAGTTCCAGGGGATCCCAAATCTTCTTCTAGTGGGCACTGCATGATGTGTTCACCAGAGGGCAAAACACAGTGATGAAATAAATATTAGACAATCTTGAAAAATAGTATTACAATTTTCTACTACAAATGTTTTGAAGCAGAGATAATTTTAACACTTTTTGAAAGGGGAAAACCAAATCTAGATTCTGTAATGACATTAGGTTCTGGAAGGAATTTTTAAAGAACTGAAGGTCTTGTTATTTCTTCATGCTTATAGCCGCCTGCTTGGTTAAACACTTGCAATTCCACGCTATGAACCCCAGACACTGGCATTAGCTTGCCAAAGCAAGTGCTTCTTTCCGTCACCATACATCCTGCTTTTTAAACTGTTCCCCCTCGTGCACTATCAAACAACAACAGGACCTGCTCTGTGCAGGTGGGCAAATGTCATTTAAGCCTGTCACTGAAACAATAAATTATACTGAGTTAACATGAGTATAAGCACATGGAATTTAAGTCTGTAATACTCTGGAACGTTTATAACAGTAACTTCAGCATCTTCCTGTCTCTACCAGCCCTGAACATGTGGACAGCTACATGCCACTACTAGAATACTTTGAAGTGAACCTCAGTTTTTGTTTTTGCTAAAGTTATAATAGCCTTTAAACCACCACTAAGGTAGATATATATTAAAGAATCTATGCTTTTAAAATTCATCAAATATGTCACTTGCTTAGCAACATCTACTTATATAATTTCATTAAGTGTATCAATAAATTTTTGCTGAAAAACAAAAACAACAGCAAGATTCCAAGACATGAAAAGGCTCTGTTTCCTCAGTAAGAACCAAAAGCTTTCTGTATAAAACTCAACAGTATGATACTGTAAGCACGATGGACTCAGGTGTCTCACCATGATCCCAACTTCTCACGAGGACCCAATCTACCACACACAGCTGTGCCCTGTGAGCTCCCCACCCCATGACCATCAGGTACCTTTTAGCAGCAGATGAAAGAGTTTCTTTTCTTGCTATTGACACAGAGCTGGTGTGATTCTGTTTTCTGTTAATACCACTTCCATTGGTTATACAGGACATGGAAATAGCTTCTCGGAGGCTTGGTTGGCCTAAGGTAGTTAGAAAAAAAAATTGTTAACAAATTTCAAAACACTTCTTAAAGAGCAGTTTAAAAAACTAAGTCTATTAGGAGTAATGAGCAGATTGCCCCACCTGAAGCTTCAGCAAATGGCACTGCTGTCTTAAGATTTAATATCATCAGCATAGACCAGGAGAAAAGCTACACTGAGCTGCTGGGATGCTAGACCCACTCACCCAGCTAAATGACTGCTTTTACATGGCAGCTCTGAAGCTCATGACCCAACCATGTATTTTAAATTTCTAATATTATACACATCAAATTTTAGAGTGCTATTCTATATAAATAAAATTTAATTGTGGAAATCAACTTCATAGTAAGCAATGGGATCAATGTCTGGTGGGCAGGTAGGCAGGCAGCTGTGGTCAGCAGGAGTCAAAACCTCAGAGTAAACAGGACAGTTCACTAAAAGACTGGGAATAGAGCACAGCTATGGACTCAACTAAGACAATCTCATGTTGGTTTCCCATTCCAAAACATAAAAGTAGTACATGAATGACCTAAAGTATCTGGCATTCCAGAGTGTTTCAAACTGAGTAGTTAACTGACTTTTTGATAGGTTCTGGGACTAACTTCTATATAACTACCTAAGAGGCATCCTTAACATAGTGTCCCATAGCCTAACACATATAGATGAGCCAGAAGAGAGGGAAAGGCAGAGAGTAGCTGCATTTATTTTTAAAAACTTCTCAAGAAGGTACTTACTGTCCCTCAAGTTAAAAATTTTGCTATAAAATCTAGCACTGGTATGCTACACAGGTGATTTCTTGCATTGACGACTTTTGTTTGTTTTTCTAGACAAGACTTCTCTATGAAGCTTTGGAGCCTGTTCAGGCTGGCCTTGAACTCACAAAGATCCAGCTGTCTCTGTCTCCCAAGTACTGGGATTAAAGGCATGGGCCACCACCTCCCTGCACATTGATTATTTTAAAAACTGTCATGGTGAAATATGTAAAAATGTTCAAGTCAGCAGCATTTACCATGTGTGCAATGCTGTGGTCAAGGGAAGGCAGTGTGTGTAAGGAGGAAGAGCTCTGAGGTTCACTGTCAGGTGCTCAGTAACTCCAAACACCTCTTCCACTTTCTAATTCTCTTCACTGTCAAAGTCTTTGACACCCTGTTTTTATCTCATGACTTTATCCTTTAAGAGGACAGCAAGGAACCCCCATCAAATTCTGTCTTCTCTATTTCCAATTATCTTAGAATATTCCCCCTTTCCTCTTGTCTCAAAACAAAATATACCCTCCAACTTCTAGCCATTGTTCTTCAAAAGCAGAAATGGCAAGGGAAGCATTAGATTGGTATAGAACAGTCCCTGGTGCTTGGTATGAGACAACGGATACCAGCATACTTCTAGACACAGAAGTCTCAGCGATGCTGCCTGGATAAAGAGGAATTATCCTCCTCTTCCTCTGACAGTTATCACTAATTTTAGTTTAATGCTCTCATTAAAGGGAGTCTTGCCTTCCCAACCTGACTAACATATTCACCTATTAACAACCTGTAACAATCTTTACCATTTCCTAAGTCATTCAGGATTGGAATGAAATGACAACGCATTTGCCTTTACAATATCCCAAATTATATCTTTGGTTTATCAAGTCTCCTTGGTTTGAAAAACTGCTACCTTTAGATAAATTGGGCTTAGACTTCTAAAGCATTCTGTACTAATAGTTTGTCTTTGTGCAGCACTGCTGGCTGTACTTTCAGATTATATTCACTTGGTCGCTTCCTCCTCAAGGGGTCCTAATGGGTTTCCCAGGGACCAGCTGTGGCATAATTTGTCTTCCTGGCAGCTAATATTGCCCAAGTATTCTCTGGACTTTCTTTTATGCTCCAAAGTACAGGTAATTTTCTTTTGGCAAGGATTCAGTACTAACTGGTACTTAGGTTATGAACATATGCTGCTAAAAGGAAGGAATTCTCTGACAGAAAAGGTATATGAGAAACTTAAATGACTGGCCACCTTGAAAACCTGATGGGACAATTTCCTACCTAGGTAAAGTGACATAAAACAAAGAAGAAAAATAAGGGATAACTTTTAAATATATAAAAAAGAAAAGAACTAAATATACTACAGTAACTAGTTAAATGTGCTTCTGATTTGGGCATTTAAGTGAGAGTAGAATTTCATCAAGCCATTTATACATACATACATAATATTTACTGTTAGCCATACTTGAAGCCATATTATGTTCACCATATTGCTACCTACCCATACTAAGATGTCCTCAGCAGCAGTTACAGTGGCCCCTCTAAGCCACAGTCTCATAAAGACTCTTACCCTGTTCATCCAAAGGTTTAATCTAATCTCTAAGGGAAAGGCATCTTTAAAAAGAACACAGGGGAGATGATGAGATGAGCACAGAGCGTGAATGCAGAGACACTTGCATCTGGAGCGTTGCTCAAGTCCTCCTGCATTAGCTGCACAATGATCTATGCATATCCTTTTGCATGTTTTAAATCTTCCCTACATTACTTAAAATGCCACCATAGTGTAAATAAGTACAGATTATACTCTAATTATCCAAGGGAGTGATATATAAAAATCTACAGATGTTTAAACATAACCTGAATGTTTCTGAATTATGGATGGCTGAAGCTACAGATGTAAAATCTACAGATACAGTACATTTTGTACTTAATTCTAATTTCAAAGAAAACTAAGAACCTAAAAGAGTTTTTCCACAATACAATAAATAATTTCACTTTTAATTAAAGCTTAATTATTTTAACAGTTTTATGAAAATTTTAATTTGAAAACATTTTGCTTAAAATATTTATTCATATTTTCATGTCATTAATATATATTAATTATACTAATTAAAAACTAATACCTGATTCTAGAATATTTGATAGTATACTATATACAAATCCCAAGAGAAATATAAACCTGCTTAAGAGTTTACAATGACAAAACTTAGGGAATTTTACATCTGTTCATGTCTTATTACCAATATCAGAAAATGTAATTAGACAAAATCTCCACTAATGAGAAGTGATTAATCTTAATGAACTATGTTCCTCTATAAAAGTTTTTTGAACCAAGTAGCCCAAACAATAATCAATAAAATGGATCTCATTTCAAAATGTAACTATCCTAAGGACAAAGTAAAGTACTGGGGTTTATTTTAAAACCTGTTTTCCTTTACTTTTATTTTATGTATATGGGTGTTTTGCCTTTGTGTCACTTGCATGTAGTGCCTGTGGAGGCCAGTAGAGGGCAATGGATCGTCTGAGATTGGAATTACAGATGAGCTGCCATAAGGGTGCTGGCAATTTAACTGAGTCGTCTGGAAGAGCAGCCAATGCTATTAAATGCTGAGCCATTTCCATAAGCCCTAACGTCACTACTTTTTAGTTCTTTTAAATGGATTTATCGGTATTTTGTTAGATCAATAAAAAAATGATTGACATGTATGCATATTTGTATCTTATACATCCACATAAACTACACACCCACAAGGACTGAATACTATTCAGTCATTAAAAAAAAAAAAAAAAAAAAAAAACTTTCATTTATAATAACATGTACAGAACCTGGAGGAGGACAGCATGTTAACTGAGACAAGTATGCATAAAAAGAAAATGGCATGTGTTCTTATGTGGATGTGGATGTGGAAGTTAAAAGTTGATTTCAGAGTAGAGAATAGTGCTTGGAAGAGTCTGTGTATAAGAGAAAAGATGGTTAACAGGTACAGGAGTCAAGATGGACAGGAAAAAATGATGTAAACAGTCCACACAGTATAGGAGGATAACTATGGTTGACAAAAATTGTTTCAATATTTCAAAATAGTTACTAGAGAGAATTGTGAATGTCATATGTCAGGCCAATTACCTTTACCTGATCATTCCACATTACAAACATGCATGAAATGCTACTACGTACTCCAGAAATAGTCCAATTATTTCACTACAGTTAAAAACAAAGACAAATATTTAAAGTAGTGTAGACAACACAGAAACATTGCTTTCTATTGCAGGACTTGTCACATGCATACAGATTCAAGCTGAGGTGGAGATGCCAATTAGACAGAAAGCTTGCTCTAAAGCTGTAACCACTTTAATCAAACTTCTGTGTGTTAACTGATCCATTTCCCATCTACTCTAGCAACTTCAAAATTCTCTTACAAAAATCAAGCCTTAAGCAAATCATTTATTACTGTCTTGACTGTGGCAGTCTTCAAAGTTGATTCTCAAAAGGATATGAAATTAAACAAATTAGAAAGATAATAAAACCACGTAACATTATCCAAAGTGGTTCCTACCAAACCTTTTGTCAAACTGTAAGCTTCTTTTCTTTTGTCATTGACATGTGTCTAACTACCTCTAATAATAAAGAATAATTCCCCCCCTTTTCTAAATCTCCTGTATCTATATTTAGGTCTCAAAATGCAGTCATATGAGAGAGAGAGAGAGAGAGAGAGAGAGAGAGAGAGAGAGAGGGAGGGAGGGAGGGAGGGAGGGAGGGAGGGAGGGAGGGAGGGAGGGAGGGAGGGAGGGAGGGCAATGTTGTTATTGTTACCCCATTGCTTCCTCCTAAACTTTACAACTTACATCTCCAGGCCATTCAACATTTATTTCATATCTATGGTCTTCCATTCATCACTCTAACCAGCCTGTTACCTATCTGAAACCTATCTTTCATGGCAGATATGATAATATGTGCATGGTGGGGAAGAAAGTAGCACTTTGAGTTTGAGGCCATCCTAAGCCATACAGTGAGACCCTCTCTCAAAACAAGGTGAAAATAAACATACAAACACAACTCTTTGCTGTGTCAAAGAGAATGAAGGTAAGATTGACAGTGGTTAAGAGTATTTGTTTGCTGCCAAACCTGATGAACTGAATTTTATTTCAGAAAGCCACAGGGTGGAAACAGAGAACCCATTTCTGCCAAAATGTCCTTTGACACACACGTTCAACAAACAACAACATGGCTCTGACGTGTGTGTGAGTGTGTGCGTGTGTGTGTGTGCGCACACACGCCCATGATGAAACCTCTTCTGGGTTTTATCTCTTTCTATTCTATCTCTGACTATGGGTTTTGTTTTGTTTTTTTAGTGGTACTGTGAATGAACCTAGGACTGCAATCTTTATAGAGCTGCATCTCTCTCCATCCCTAGAAGTAGTAGCCATTTTTCCACTTAAGACTTATTAGTTTTGGGGTACCATGTCGGGCCGCGAAGGTGGCAAAAAGAAGCCCCTGAAACAGCCCAAGGAGATGGACGAGGAAGATAAGGCTTTCAAACAGAAGCAAAAAGAGGAGCAGAAGAAACTCAAGGAGCTAAAAGCCAAGGCCGCGGGGAAGGGACCCCTGGCCACAGGTGGAATCAAGAAATCTGGCAAAAAATAAGCTGTTCCTCATATCTGAGATGATGGTGACCCTCTTCCATTCCTATTTAAACATCTGGATTCCCTGCCATAACATCTTTGCCACCTACAGCTAGAATGAAATGTTAACTTGGAGCCTGTTAAACATCTGGATTCCCTACTATAACATCTTTGCCACCTACAGCTAGAATTAAGTGTTATCTTGAAACCTGTTGTACACTGTAATAAACTTTTGTAAAAAAAAAATAAAATGAATAAAAAAAAAAAACTTACTAGTTTCTTCTCCGTCCTAAGGTCACCCTTTGCAAACTCAGAGAAACCTTGCTTTACCATTTCTTACTAGCAGCACCAATACTATCTTCTTGTGCTATCTCTTTGTTCTTAACATATTTGTACATCTTAAAATATAAAACTATACACACACACACACACAACACACACACACAGAGAGAGAGAGAGAGAGAGAGAGAGAGAGAGAGAGAGAGTTCAGTGATATAGTAGGATGTGTGGGGCCTCAGTTACATCCTTAGCACCATAAATCAATGAATAATATTAGAATTGGCCTTCAATTTAGTGTCCTTTTAGAGCCACTATCATTTCCCCCCCTTCAGGCAATTTAAGTCACTGCTCTTAATTCCACAATTTTCTTAATCAGAGAATTCCAATTACATTTCTCAAAATACTAGATTTTCAGTACTACTATTGCACTAAAATTGCTTTTGTAGAGTTTTCTAATATTCCTATACATAAAACTCTAATTGTCACGTCTCAGTCTATTTTAATGGACCTCTCTGCTGTAACCGATTCTATGCTGGGCTTAGTTTTATAGCCCTTGCTATCACAGCAACTTTCATCTGTAAGTTAATGGCTAACAAGAGCAAGAACACTTCACCCCTACTTCAACAGTACTTATGTACCACCACATGCATTTCAAATCCAGCACTCAAACACTAGCTTCACAGTCTTTCTGGGAGTTTTGGCTAACTGTGTTGTGAGCATTTGTCCAGTGAGATGGAAAGTAATGACATACTTCTCCCTGTGTCGTCTTTTAGTCCTCCCGACTCACTGCAACTTGGGGAAAGCAGTTCAAACCTCCCTTTTCCAAACAAACACTGCTGAGGACAGTGACCATGCTGGTCTCTATCAGCTCCACTAAGAAATGTTAAGTCCAAGTGCGTGATTAATTTGAAAGAATTAAAAATTCTTGGTGGTTGAGGAATAGAAAAGGCTACATCTGTTTTGAATGAGAGCAACAAGGTCTAAAGGACTGTTTTTCTCAACATCTGGATGTTAAAATTCCACCTATACTGAGGTTAGCAATAATTTACTGACCACAGACAGTTTAGGATGAAGCTGGTTAAATAATTTACAACAATTTTAATCATGTTTCTCATGTTTAATCATGGAGGTGCAAAATGATTCAGTCCTTGCCCTCAGCAAAATTTATTATATAGTAAGAAATATTATGGTGGGGAAAACCTATAAGTGAAGTATTATACAGAGTTCTCAATTAAAATAATAGGGTGTAAATTTTCAGAATTTGGGGGAATAAAGAGAAACCTACTATAATCACAAGTAATTCAAACAAGCAAATAGTTTTGTATTTCAAGTTTCAATTTTCAAAAAACAAGACAGAAAATCCAAGACTCTTGTTTACAACGATCTTACTCACCTTTATTTGGCACAGACTTTTTCACTGAGGCTACATGATCCTCAGAGATTGCAAGACGCCTCAAAACATCAGCCAATGCTGCCTTTAGCACAGTGATTTCATCTTCCTGTTGTTGAACTCGTGACTCGAGAGCTGAGAGGCGATCCTGAACATCAGAAGTACTTGCAGCGGAAATACTATCATCTAAAAAGGAAAATATTGAACATTTTAAAATCTGACTGCTTAAGAAGGGATTTCTTTCTGGTGACAAAACAACACCAAATCAGGTTTTGTTTTGTTTTTTTTTTTTTTTTTTAAGACAAAAAACAAAACCAACAAACCAAACAATAATTTTACCATATTTACAAAAGCAACTTCTAAAAAGATATTTTTCAAGTTATTAAAATGATGAAATGCTCTGTGGTTGGTCCCTCTCCATCATGGGGATACCACCTTAGTTTTCTTACTGAATGTTCCTACATACATCAGTTTGGAGACATAAGAATAGTTTTCTAGAGAGCAAGCTACCCAGGCTCCCCTTTTAACAACACCATGGTCTTTAGGAAAAGACGGCAAACCATGCTCCACCACTGACTAGAAAGCCCCTTCCCTTGTCTTCACTCTCATTCCCTTTCAACACCAATATAAAGCAACACTGCCATGAACTTAACTAAAGACTTTATGCTGTTCTCCTTTCTTCCAACAGTCCAATGTCTTTTTAAAAAGAGTAATGGCTGGGTGTGGTGGCACATACTTGCCATCTCTGTACTCCAGAGGCAGTAGGATTGGCTCAGGCTCCATGCAAGCCTGGGCTGTATTGTAAAAGACTATCAAAAACACAGCAGTATGCCAACAGGATGATACAGCAGGTGAAGATGCTGCCAGCCTGAGTTTGATCACTGGGACCCACATAGTAGAAAAAAAGAACAAATTTCCACAAATTTCCTCTGACTTCCACAATTACACTATGGCACATGTACATTTCTGCTACAAATAAATAAATGTAAAATTAAAAACAAGTGATGTAGTAGCAATAATAGTAACAACAATAAATCAAAACCAATAAAGAAAAATAAAACATGATGTTTCAATAAAGCTGTTGCCTAATATGTTAGGTATATAATAACAAAGACAAAATTATAATAAGTCTTAACCATGGCATCATTAAATGCTTCCAAAGCGACTTAGAATCTACTATTTGCTAGGTCAAATAATGTACAGCTGTGGGTGAATAGGGACGGGAACATGAGAGAACAGGTTGAAGGGGAGCAGAGCAGGGGAGAGGGAAGAGTACTAAAAGAGGCTACTGGAAAAGGGTGCATCTCAGGGTCAGGTAAAAACCTGGTGTAAGGAACTCTCCCAGCAATCTACAAGAATGACCCCTGGCTAAGACTCCTAGCAATAATGGATACATAGCTATTTCCTGTGACCAGGCAAGACTTCAAGTACAGGGAGTAGGATGTTCGGCCTATAGGATGTTCTGGAGTAAGGTTGGCCTAGAGATTGAAGGAGTGTTCAACCAATGACTGATCTAGCCTAAAATCCATGCCAGGAGAGACAAACCACCCCTGACTGCCTAGAGCACCAGGACCCACAGGCTGGAGAATCAGAGACCTAGGATAGAACCAAACATAACTGGCGGTAGAAAACCGTCTTTGTATTGATGCCTACTGATATTCTGCTATACTCATAGATTGGTGCCTAACCCAATAGTCATCAGAGAAGCTTCATCTAGCAACTGATGGAAATAGATGCAGACCCACAGCCAAACATTAGGCAGAGTTCAGAGACTCCTGGAGAAGAGATTGTAGGAGCCAGAGGCGTCAAGGACACCATAAGAAAACCCACAGAATCAAATAACCTGGACTCAGGGGTTCACAGAGACTGAACCAACAACCAGGGAGCTTACATAGGACTGACTTATGCCCTCTGCATGTATGTTATAGTTGTGTAACTTGGACCTCTGGAATTCCTAACAGTGGAACAGGGCAGGGGTTGCCTCTGACCCTTTTACTGGTTTGGGGACCCTACTCCTCACACTTGAGTCACCTTGTCCAACCTTAGTACATGGGGAGGTGCTTAGTCTTATTGCAACTCTGATATGCCATGTTTTGTTGATACTCATGGGGGCCTGCCCTTTCAGGAACAGAAACAGAGGAGGAGTGGATGGGGGGAGGGGGGAGGACAAAGAGGGGGGTGCTAGGAGGAGAGGAGGAAGGGAAAACTAGTCAGGATATAAAATAAATTAATTTAATTAACAAAATGTACAGCTGTATAAAAAGATCAAGTGGTACTGATTAATTCTCTATAAGCAGAAAACTGCTGGAGAGAAATAGTGACTTAATGGACACCCCTGGCCTACTTCTTAGACCAGTACAATGTAAACTAGGTCAGTCAGAGTGTGCTGTATTCCTCAAGCTGAAACAGTTAATTCCTAGTCGAGTTAACACACTGACATAACCTCAGCATTTTCAAACCACTGAGACCATACATCCCAGGGGTTAGGAGCATATCCCTTCTGACTTTAGTGGGATTTCAGTGACAGAAAAGTAACAGTGTTGAAAGAAAAAGCTGGGTTTGTCTTTAACTTAGTCTTCAAATTCTGGCTCTATACTAATTAATTACATTATCAAGCGATTGCAGCTCTTTGACCCTTAGTTATTTACCTTTAAAGGAGGAAACTATAAGGCACACAAAGTACAAAGGGTTAAGTAAGAATCGAGAGCCTTGCCCATCTATTACATGAAAACAGGAATATCAAAACCTGAGATGGTTTAACAAATGGCCAGTAAGAGTAACTCATTCTCTCATCTTATGACTTACATATTTTTGAAAGTTTTTATTAACACATTAATATGCTTAATAATGGATTTAATTATGGCATTGTCTTACAATACAGATTGCAATCTGAGGACATTTCTGCCACCACTGCCCTCATACCCCCTCCAGCCCCTGCTGATCCTCTTCATCTTTCAGTGTGTACGCAAAGTCAAACAAGCTTCATTAGGGCTGGCCACAGAAGAATTCACAGCACCTTGGGTACTATAAAACTTTATTTATATGTGTAAGTGTGAAATTTACACACACACACACAAGCATCTTGTTCTGTGTATTCGATGTGCTAGTGTGTGTGGGTGCAGGTATACTCATCCATGCCCCTGCATACACACACACACACACTAGAGGTTAACTCAAGTATCTTCCTCTACCATTGTGCACCTTAATCCCTGTTTCTCAACTGACCTACAGCACTGGGCTCACACATGTGCATCACTGTGCCTGGCCTTCATATGGATCATGTGCTACAGAGTCTCCCTGGCTTCAAGCATCTTTATGCTGCTACCTTTCCTTTGTCATCTGGCTGGCCCATGCTATTTGCAACTGTGTAAGTTCAGTCACTGTTTCTACTGCCTTGAAGAAACAAGGGTGGAGGCATGGTCAAAAAGCAGTAGCTCTTCCTTCTCTTTAGGTCTTGTTAGTTCTGGTGCCTCATTCTTCTACATTAGTAGGTTGGACTAAATGAGATAGCTTTTTTGAGTCAGTATAAAAACAACTGACTGCTAGCAATTTCATAAGATTCAATTTACAGTGAACAGTATAGAAACGGTAACTGAACACCAGGCCAGAGAGACCTTCCAGGTTTTCAGAGACAGTACATAACATGTTCTCTCTCTCTCTCTCTCTCTCTCTCTCTCTCTCTCTCTCTCTCTCTCTCTCTCTCTCTCTCTCCAAGACTGTCAGTAATAGTGCTTGCTTCAGCAGCACATATACTAATATTGGAACGATATAGAGAAGATTAGTATGGCCCCTGCACAAGGATGACATGCAAATTCGTGAAGCATTCCATACTTTTTCAACTATGTTTATAGCAGCATTATTTGTAATAGCCAGAACTTGGAAACAACCTAAATGCCCCTCAACTGAAGAATGAAGAAAATGTGGTACATTTACACAATGGAGTACTACTCAGCAGAAAAACAAAACAAAACAAAACAATGAAATCTTGAAATTAGCAGGCAAATGGATGGAACTAGAAGAAACCATCCTGAGTGAGGTAACCCAGTCACAAAGACAAACGTGGTATGTACTCACTCATATATGGATTTTAGACATACAGCAAAGGATCACCAGCCTACAATCCACACCACCAGAGAAGCTAGGAATCAAGAAGGACCCTAAGAGAGACATACATGATCCACTGGAGAACGGAAAGGGACAAGACCTCCCAAACAAATTGGAAGCATGGGGGGAGGGGAGAGGGGGTTAGGAGGAAGAGGAGAGGAGAGGTGGGCATGAAGGAGCAGGGAGATTGAGTCAGGGGAAGAATAGAGGAGAGCAAGAAAAGAGATACCATAATAGAGGGAGCCATTATAGGTTTTAAGAGAAATCTGGCACTAGGGAATTGTCCAGAGAACTACAGGGATGACCCCAACTAACAATCTAAGCAATACTTAGAGAGGCTACCTTTAATGCCCTTCCACCAAAATGAGATTGACCCTTATATGCCATCCTAGAGCCTTCATCTAGTAGCTGATGGAAGCAGAAGCAGACACCCACAGCTAAACACTGAGCTGAACTCTTGGAATCCAGTTGCAGACAGGGAAGAGTGATGAGCAAAGGGGTCAAGACCAGGCTGGAGAAACCCATAGGAACTGCTGACTGGAACAAGGGGAGCTCATGAACTCCAGTCTGATAGCTGGGAAACCAGCATAGGACCGATCCAGAACCCCTGAATGTGGGTGGGTGATAGGAGGACTGAGCAGTCTATGGGGCCTCTGGTAGTGGATCAGTATTTACCCCAGTATACGAATGGACTTTGGGAGCCCATTCCACATAGAGGGATACTCTCTCAGCCTAGACACATGGGGGAGGGCCTGGGCCCTGCTCCAAATGATATGACAGACTTTGAAGATCCCCCATGGGAAGGTATCACCCTTCCTGGGGAGCAGAAAGGAGATAGGATGGGGGTTGGTGGTGGTGGTGGGGGAGACAGAGGAGGGCAGGGTGAGGGAACTGGGATTGAAACAAACTTGTTTCAAGTTTAAATTAAAAAAAAAAAAGGACAACCAATTCTAGGAGCCAGTCTTTTATTCTGCCAGTTAATTATCTGACCTAATAAATCTAGTTTTTGCAAGCCACCACTTGTAAGCCAAATATTCTAATTAAGTCAGTAAACTATATAGCTACTACCTTCTAAATTGTTC